TTAGACAGCATACTAAAAAGCAGAGACATCACCCTGCCGACAAAAGTGCGTATAGTCAAGGCTATGGTTTTCCCAGTTGCAATGTATGGCTGTGAAAGCTGGACCATAAGGAAGGCTGAGCGCCAAAGGATTGAGGCCTTTGAATTGTGGTGCTGGAGGAGACTCCTGAGAGTCCCTTGGACCGCAAGGTGATCAAACTGGTCAGTCCTGGAGGAGATCAACCCTGACTGCTCTTTAGAAGGCCAGATACTGAAGATGAAACTCAAATACTTTGGCCACCTAATGAGAAGGAAGGACTTATTGGAAAAGACTCTGATGCTGGGAATGATTGAAGGCAAAGGGGGAAGGGGATGGCAGAGATTGAGGAGGCTGGATGGGGCAACTGGAGAGGTGGGTGTGGGGTTGGATGCACTCTGGGGGATGGCGGAGGAAAGGAGAGCCTGGGGGAATGTTGTCTATGGAGGAATGTTGTCTATGGGGTCATGAAGAGTCTGGCATAATTTTGCAACTGAATGATGAATTTAGAAGGGAATAATACTCCCTATCCAGGGAATCTTTTCCTTGAAATGCTGCCATTGCTTAATTTTCTTTTCTACTCACATCCACACTTACCTTGGGGCTTCCATTCTGCATCACCTTTTTACTTTTGGCTGTCATAATTGAACTCAGTCTGTAAGCTAAAATAAAGAGAGGGAAACAACCTGCAAAGGCAAGAACATTTCTTAGGAAGCAACCAGAGGAGTCAAAACTTCTCTGCTGCTTTTCCAACTCAATTCTAGATCCTCAAGCTTCACAAGAGGGATAATAGAGCTCAATAAAGCCTCAGCTAAGCGCAGGGCCATCTTTAGGATCTTTCTGTAAAAGAAGCACATTGGCATCTGTGCAATAATAAACTTGCAATTCTTGTTCGAATATTGTAGTGAGTCCTAAGATTTCCCTTCAAGATCTTGCATGAAAGGTTATATGCATTGTGTTAAGAAGTTCAAAACCAAGATTTTTCCTTGTGAACATGGCAGACAGGATGAAGTAGACAAGGGTGCTGCACACTGAATCATTGTGCAGAAGAGAAAATTTTAGCAGGTGGAGCTTATATACAATTTCTTCTTATCCTACTTTTTAGAGGGGCAGGGACAATGCCTTCTTTTCCAACTGGCTGTGCTACCCTTTTGTAGAATTAAAAGTGACCCTCAGAACTCTGAATGCTACATACGAAACTCGTTTTCCTTTCTTCCTTTCCCTCTTCTTGGAACATTTGATGCATTTAGGAGTTAACAGTGCATTGCTATGCATGTCTACTAAGCAAGGCCAACCGAAGTCAACAGGACGTGCTTCCAGATAAATGGGCACAAAATCTCAACCTAAATGGTCTAGGATGAAGCACTTCTATACATTTATGCCCAATGTGGCTTGCTTTTGAGTAGACATGCGTAGGATTTCATTATTCATGGAGAAAATCCTGGGGGAAAACAAGTATTTGCTTTTGCCCACACTTTTCACTTGGCAAGCAGAATCTCAGTAAAACCTGTTCGATATCCAGTTGATCACAGTGTTCATTATGTCTGTAGGGATGATCATTACCAGGTGGATTTCTACCCCCTCACTTTTAGTGCTAATAATATTCGTGTCCCGATATTATTGCTGCAGGATGTGAAGGGTAATTAATATGATCATATTTAAGAATAACATGACTTACTGTTGAAGGTTACTTATTTTGTGATGGGCTGACCAACCTCTCAAGCTCTCTCTCTTCTCTAGACAATGTATTGTGACCCCAGTCTTCAGCCTTCTTGGAGTAAAGAGAATACTTTGAAGTAAATAAGAACTGGGGGGCACTTCCAAGCAAAGGAAAGTCAGTTCCAGTACTTGCCCCACTGCACCCTTGGCAGAGGACCTAGCCCTGCCACCCAGGTCCAAGGATAATCTCTGGAGTCCAACTCCCACCAGCCCCAAACATCACAGCCAATGGCAGGAATTTTAGTCTAACATCTGGAAGACCCCGTGTTCCTCAACCCCTGCAATTAGGCATTGCTGCTGTTGTGGTTTAGGGTTAGTTCCCCCCCCCCCCCCCCCAAGACATTCTTCTTAGCATTGCTGAAAAGTCTGGCTTAATGTATGACATCCCTGAAATCTATTTTTAATGCTAGGGCTGAGTCATGCAACATGAGGATGAGAAAAGATGCATCTGAGCATGTGCAAAGTGTCTTTAAAATAATAATAAAGTTCTGCAGCCTCTCCCAACATACTTGGGAAGGCAAATTGTCATGTCTCAGAGGTGCCATCGAGTATCAACCTTTCTCTTTTTAAAAATAAGGTATGAATACCATGCCAAAGTGGTATTCATACCTTCACCATCCTTGCATTCAAAGGCTCAAGGTAGGTCAAGTTGCTTGTCTATAAGAGAACCTTCACATGGTACCAGTTAAAAGTGCAGGCTTTATAGGAGAACATATAGAGCAAAATTCCATGCATATTTCAGATTGAAAAGGCTTAGCTTTTTTGGGCTGCACATGCACAGGATCATGCCCTTAGCTACATGCAGTAAAATACATTTACATGTGCCGTGGAGCTTCAGCCAATGTGTACAGGCTTTGCCGTGTGGGCGCAACAGACTGGCCCCTTTTCAACCAGTCTTCTGGAGCTGTTGGACCACGACTCTCGGGGCGAGTGGAGCTGCAGTAGACTAAATTCAGGCAATGGCTTTAAACACCGGTCTGTGCAGCGCACACTCTTAACCCAGGTATAAAGTGCTCTGCGATTCAACCCACCAGGTATTCCTTTATCTTGGAACTATATTGGATAGGTACTCACAGACCGAAGAAGTCCCGTCGTCCGTACTAGAGTGTCTGCAAGGGAGACCATGCAGCTGTGCTGTCTTGACACTGGTAGACACACTGCTTGCCCCAGATAGTAACACACTAAGCCCCGCCTTCTGGTTAAACTTGTCGGAGTATCTGCCAAATTTCTGTGGCAATTGGGCCACAGAGCTCCCTTGGAGGCCATACAACTCAACAAGAGGTCAGAAACATTGGCCCATGGCCCTCTTGAAATGACTAAGAGCCTTGGGATGCTTCCAGATGGGTGCCTTCTAGTGCCACCAGTCAAGAGACACTGCGCAGCTTCCTTCTTGACCATATCAGTAGGTAAGGGGGAAAGATGGTGGGAAACCATGCAAGGTTTTCAAAGGGAAAGTGATGACCTCTGGAGTCTTCATAAAATTTTGTGCTGTGGGGGAGGGGGCAGGACAATTACACAACAAAAGTTTTCCTAGGAAGCATTCCCAAACTGCAAAACAACATACGAAAAAGGGGGGCAAATTGCTTGCTCAATTCAGAATCAGTCGCTCCAGAACATCTAAAAACACCTAAAATCTTGATAATTTTCCAAGAGTTTGGGGGCTCCACTGTCAGTTCCCTTGCTAAAGCACCTTTCCCCCCACTGTCTCCTTTTAAAATCACTTTAATATTTATGGGTTCTTTGTGCTACCATAAAATTACCTGGAGCTCAAATTGCATTTTCAGTCTCCCTAGTAAAATACCAATATCGATAGGCTTTGCATAAACAAATGGTCTCTTGAATTCCTCCATCCTATTCGTAGGCAGATAAATTGCATGTTCAGGGGACAATTTCAAAAAAATTATCCAGGGAGAAATTGTCAATATGAGAATATTTTCTTTTTTCTGTAAAGCGTCTCTTTCTGGGGAGGGGGACTGCTGCCATTACAAATGGCAACAGACTTAATTGTGCCGGCAAGCCGCTCCCTATTTGCATCCACCTGTGTGTGGATATGCACATGGGGGCAGCTCCAGGGAAGAGGCGGATTTGGTGCCATGCCCTGTGTGGCCTCCAATCTCCTGAGCGCTCTCTACTCCCGTGAAAGAGACTTCCACTGTTTTGACTCCTTCTCAGGGTGTTTTCCTTTGGTAGTGGTTTTGAGCTTACCCAAGCATGGCCAGGTGGCTAAGGATGCTTCTAACGTACCTTTCTCCATTGCTCTGCAGCCTCCCAGGCTGCCTGGACTTCCTGATCTGAGAACGTCCAATAGGAGGAATTGCCACATGATGCCCGTCCCTGGGCTTTAGTTGAAGTGCAGGAAGCCAAGGAGGCTGCCAGAGAAATGACCATACAATGGAAAACAGCATAGATGGACACACTGACACAGCACTAATATGGTGTTGAGCTCTCCTTATTTTCCTAAGAGGTAAAAACAAGCAACAATGAAGAATTACTCTGTAAAAACACCTGGGATGAGTAATTCCCTCAAGCCCCTGGGTTTCCAAGAAAGACCTTGGCATAAAGGGCTGTCTTAATGTGGCACTGAATGGATGATAAATTTGGCACCAGGCAGGCCTCAGTGGGGAAACTGCAGAGGAGGAAAGCAGTCTAGAAGTCAATTGCCCAATCTTTCCGCAATCCTAGATGTTTTGATTGCCTCCCCCAATAATCTCCAGCCAGCAGTTGCATTCCCAGTGCAAAACACGAACTTGGCCTGCAGCTTGCTTAGCACTCTGAGCACCACCTAATGCCAATGTTTTACCAGGTGTATTTCAAGGGCTGCAAAATGCCAGAGGACGCTGCAGTGCAGAGTTCTCCAAGCCACTGTCAGCCAACCAGCCTCACCCTCCTTCATGATGCACCATTCCTTCTGTCCCTTCCAATCTTCCTCAGCTCCCGCCACCCAAAGTCCTAACTGTGCCTGCTCAGCTATATTTTGGGGGGTGGCTGGGATAGACAGACCCTGTCCCCTGTTCCACAGCACTGGCTGTGCTGGCTGTGGTTGATGGGACCTGAACACCAACACATGCAGAAGAGAAAGTCGTTCTCGTTTGTTAAAGAATTAGCTTCAGAGCTATGTAAATTCTGCTGGAATACTTGAACTGTACGGAATGCTCCATTAATTAAGGGGAGCTGCAGTATGTTTAATTTAAATGCGAATCAGCTTTTTAAAGGTTTGAGGTGCATTGAGAAAAAAGCCTGGCACATCAAAAAGCCTTCTTTCCTTGATTCATAACAGCCACAAACTCTGTATAAGTCTTTGGCTTTTCGAAAAAAAATGCTTTTGTTCTGCTTCTTTCACCCCCATTCATGATTGCTACAAATGTAGGCAAGAAGCAAAGGCACTGCAACCGAATGAGAATGCGTTCCTTGCTCCCGGGAATAAGTCACTCACTTCGTCCAGACAGCAGTGCAAAGGGCAGCAGCCACTTCAGAATGCAGCCTCGCCATTTGGCAGCAAGCCTGTACTTGGCAGAGACCGGGTTCAAATACATCCAGACAAGCAAACTTGGTCGCAGCACAAGTGCTCCTTGTCCTAGTTTGAGGAATGACACTACAAGGCCAGGCCAGTCTACAAATCAATATTGCATATGAGCGTGAAGACAGTTCACAATGAACCGAAAAATGCCTTTGCAGCTCGTCTATGAAAGCAAGACTGTAATATTGAGAAAGCATCTGAGACCCCAGAAGGTCACGCTCCTGTTGCGTCTGGTCAGGCTACTGCAGGCATGGGAGAACTTGGGCCTTCTGGAGTTCCTCCCCATCCTTCATGCCTTTTGTCCATACCACCCCATCACTTGGTAGTTTCCCAGCTTTTGTATAGTTTCCCCTTCTACCAATTTTAAAAGGCCAAGATGCTTCTGCAAAGGCTTGGCTTCTGGCAGTAAGAGCTTTACGCTTTAACATGCTGTCTTTTGCCCCTCCCAGCATGTAAATGCACCTGCAGAAATTCTCAAATTGAATCTGGCCCTAAGCTGAAAAAGGCTCCCCATCTCTGGGGAGGGTCATCAGCAGCAGGGTGAAGCTTTTCCTAAACAGCAGAAGCCTCCAGCTTTTCTCCTACTGGGTGTAAAGCTAACACTGACTCAAACCAAAACTCAGCTGTTTATATCTACCTTTCATTTATTTTGCAGAAGAAATGAACAGCTTTACACCCATTACTGACATTCAGGATCTTGGAGGATGCTTATACATTTAAGAAGGCACCAAAAGGATTCCTCCTCTTGTCCGTGCATAAACGGCCTGCTCTTATAGCTTCTGCAATGCTATACACTTTAGAAGTCCAAATGCCCAATAGCCTGCTCCCAGATTTTAACCAGAGTATCTTTAAGGTTCTGCATGGGCATTGTTTTGGGATTGTATTTCCACAAAAGAATGTTTTTTCTGCCAGTCTTCACAAGTTTTGGACTACAAACCAAGCAGCATGGCAAATGGTCAGAAATTCTAGAATGGTAGTCCAAAACAACTGGAGTGTACCAGGTTGCCTGTCTCCCCTCACCTTTTTTTTAAAGCAGGAAGGCTGGCTTCCTGAACGCACACCTCCTCGTCTCATTTGCCCATCCTCCAAGGACTACAGACCGGGTGATCCCATCTTATGCCAACAAGCCTGTGATATGGTTTTGGCCAAGAAAGCATGCTTTGCTAAAAGCTATGAAGAAAGCTGTATTGCTGAGTGGAGATCTGAATTCCAACCCCGTTGCCTCCACAGCCAACACTATTCCCTACACCAGGCTGGGTTGCAATCTTTCTTTTCCATTTCTCTTTTCTAAAAAGAGAAAATGGCAGAGGGAATATGTCTGTTTCCCCCCAGGAACTTTTTCTTTTAGTTCCATGATTCCACTTTCTAAAGATGAAACCTGTTCAGGACCATTCAGAACAAGATGCTGTGGGTAAAATTGTCCAATTCTTAGGGTCACCCCATTTCTGGCTTCTCCTCAAGTGCTTAGAGCCCGTTTACAAGGCTTTGCAGGATGCTTGGAACAGTGCAACATTTCCCTATTGGGGCAAAACAAATAGTTCAGCTATACCATCCCATGCAGATTTCATTCAAGGTCCTCAGAGAAGTCCCATGAGGAGAATCTGCACCCAATGAGCTTGGAAAAGCAACCACCTTGCTGCCAGAAGCAGCAAGGCCACACCCGCAAAAAGAAGATGATACCCAGCCAAGCAGCTAAGGAAGATGGGTGCTTGTTCTGCACTCGCTATGTTAGATGAGGCCTCTCCAGGTTTGTCAGTTTGTGTTGTGTCCTCAGCCATAGTAGCTGGGGAAGAGGAGACCCTCAGCTTGGATAAACTGCACTAGGAGATGGGGAAGAAGCCTTTGTAGCCTGGGCGGGACAAGCTCTTCCTAGGCACTAGTCCTGTAAAGAACAGGATTCCAGTACCCCTGTGTGACATTGTCCAGCATACCAGTGCTGGGGATCATCAACTGCTGGGAGTCATGATTGCGAAACTGCCTTTGCAGCTTCTCTTTTCTGCATCAGCACCATTCCTTGCTCTGAAAGCAAAGGACAGAAACCCAGCATCTTGTTCCTTTTCTTCCAGGGAGTTAAAAGTGGTTTGCCCGTGCTACTTATGTATGCTTTACTTGACTAGAGTTAAACAAATATTCAATTTTATTTATTTATTGATATATTAAATCCCAAGTATCTAGAAGAAAGAGTGGAATAAAAGGCTAGTGTCTTTTTTTAAAACAAGACTGCACTTCTCATTGGGCACATGTATGGCGTCTGTCCCACTGTTGTTTCTGGTCAAATAGGGTTTTGTAAATTTTTGAAAAAATACCAAAACAGAACAAAATACATGCTTGCAAAACAAGGTCAGAGATGTAGGGTGCACAGCAACTCTTCTTGCGAACCAACATAAACTCTCTGAAAGAAAAATGTCAATGCCTAGATGAAGATCCCAGCCAGCCACAATGGTTTCAATGGTTTCTGATGTACAAAATTCCACCTTATGACTAGGAATGTATCTTGACCAGCAATGGATTTGGATAATGCTACTTTCTTTCTTGTATAGTTCAAAGGGAGTTTAGCTCAAATCTTCTTCAAGCTACCTTGGGCCACCAAAGCTGACGGCTTCCTCTGTTCCTCCCCGGGCTGCTGTATCTGAGCAAAATCCTTATGCAGGGGGTGCTGAGCAAAGAGGAGGAAGCAAACACCGTTGCGCAAAACAAGCATCCCTGCCAGAGAGGAAGCCCAGTAGCTCCATGTGCCATGCTGCCAGGTAAGAGCTGCCAGATGGTCAATTAAGGGTTCAGCCTCAGGCCTGGCATGGCGACTGTGAAGATCCCAACAACAGAAGAGATTAGACCACAGAGGCCGATGACTCCAGGGTTCGTCTTGTAGATTCCCAGCCGGTCCAGTGGACTAGAGAGATCGCAAATGTTCTTCAGCAGGTCAAGTGACAAGGGAGGATAGTTCCACAGTGTGAGGCAGAGGAGCAGGAGGAAGGACAACAGTCCTCTGAGTGCCAAGGAAGCCATGCTCTGGAGTTGCTGGCCACAAGGAGGCACATCCTGTTTGGCTTTCCCTGCTTGTGCCATTTTCTCCATGCGCCAGCTCAGCTCATACAAATCCTTTGCCAGACTGACCACCAGGGAATAGTAGTAGCACTTGGTGGCCCTCTGGCGCCACTTCTTCTTGTCAATATGTTTGACGAGGCCCACGCTCCTCACCCACAGGATGGTGTCACAGATGAAGAACAGAGCACGGTTCAGGTTGGCGACTGTCAGGCAGATGCAGGGAACTACATCTGGTAACTGGGCAGCCTTCTTGGCCGCCACAATGGCATGCACTGTATTGCCAAGCCTGAACACTGCAAAAGAACCCACAGCAATTAGGGCATGTACAGAAGCCAAAAAGCTTTGGGGGCTACTGAGTATTCCATAGGTTAGTTACTATTATTAATATTATTACAAATTAAACAAATAAATAAATAGCACACTGCATTTTTATCCTACCTTTTTTCCTCTTGTGAAGGACCCAAGGCAGCTTACAAAGTTCCATTTTATCCTTCCAACAACAATCCTGTGATTTATATTAAGCTGAGAGTGGATTACTGGCCCACCCAGTGAGCTTCATGAGACAGAGCATTCCCGAGTTGTTCAGCCACCTTAGGATCTGTCATGTGCTGGGAACCAGCAAGTGTGCTCACTCCCAGTTCATTCACAACCACCCAAGGTTTAAGAAAGCCATGGGCTGTTGTAATGTCTGAACCAGGCTGCCCATTTCTGTCATTTGTATGCTTGCACATTTGCACCCTCCCTGCCACCTGCCATTTTTAGCTAAATGAGAGACCTGCCTCTTTTTTCTTCTTGCACTTCTTAGAAAGCAACATACTTACACTTGCGGCCTGAGCTCATGCTGGACTCCAGATCTTTGAGCTTCGTGACCAGCTTCTCCTGGCCAGCCTTATGCTCTAACATATAGCTAAGCAGCATGCATGAATACTGAGTAGCTCTGGAGAGGGGAGGAAAAAATAAGATGAGCACCATTCACACAACATGCAAAGTGCACCATTCACAGAGGAAGAGGGCTGTGTCCTCCCAAACAGAAACCAGGAGTTTACATATATGCAGGCAGAATCAAAGAGGCAGGAGGAGCCTTGCACGCAAGTGGAAACATTCCTGCTCAATTTTAGTTACTGAGTTATTAAGTTATCAACAGGGGCTGCCTCTTCAGCACTCGATGCCGCACTGTGCTGACCACACCACTCGCCACCTTGGTGCCGCTCCACCTGAATCCTTTGAGGTTCAGGTCTGGGGGTTGGAACTCACCCTGCCTGCCACCCCCTCGCTGAGCGGCAACATGCGAGGCTGCAGCTGGAGTGGGGAGCAGCAGCACTGCTGATGACTCCTGGCTGCTGGGGCGGGACTTCTGCCTGGGGCCTTTTTCTCTCCGGTGCCCGCAAGGGACCTAGTGGGGGCTGCCTGCTTGGTGCTCCATCAGTGAGAGGTGCCAGGAGGCCGTGTTTTTTGAGTAGAGTCATTCCCCGATGGGGTTTATTGCAGGAGGTGAATCTGGGAGAGCAGCCATTCCGGTGGTGATGGGTATGGGGTGTTATGGAAGTGGGGGGAGGGCGTACCTGCCTAGAAGGGGGGACAGATGTTTAATATTTGTCCCCTGTTCAGGCCCTTCCCTCAGCCTAAGGATGCCGGGTATCCATATCGGTCTGCCCTCAGGACGGCTGGTGCTGTTAATTAATGCCAGGTCGGTCTGGAATAAAAGTGTTATCATTCATGATTTAATTGTGGGTGAGAAGGCCGACCTGGTGTGCAGTACCAAAACCATCTCATTCCAGTAATACCTTAGAGAGCAGCACTCAAAACCTCCTGCACACTTCCTAGTGCACTCTAGGAGCCCTACTCAGTGAAAGAGCATCTGCCTTGCATGCAGAAAGTCCCAGGCTCAAGCACCCACTTCTCCAGGGAGGGTAGGAAAATGGCCCAGAGAGCCACTCCCAGTTAGTGCTGACAATACAGGGCTAGATGGAACAATGCTTATATTATTCCATATAAGGCATATTCCTATATTGAACCTTGTGCATGCAAAGCAAACACCTAACCACTTCTCTCTCTGGCTACTTAGAAACATCAGCTGGATCTCTACTCTCCCAAGAAAGCCAGGATTCCTCTGAACATAATCTGAACACCAGTGTGATGAGGTTACATGCAGCATGCAATGCCTGAAGACATGACATGTGACGAACAACGACCAGGTGGCATGAGCACGAGCAACCAGGGATTAGGAATATGGGGGCTGTTAAGATACGCACCTGCAAGCATACTTGCTTACCTTCGTTCTTTGCTACTTTTGCGTCTTGCTATCAACAATTTGACTGCAAGTCCTTGTTGTTGCTGTTGCTTTCTTACCACACAATAGAGTGAGTTTCTTGCTCTTTCTCACTTTCATAACTATCTCTTATAACAAGGCAGCATACTCCAGTTTCTTCTCTTACTCCAAAGGAACACCGGCAGAATCCCTTGCTCTGAGGCAGAGGTTTTCCCATCATTGGCTACCATACATACCTGCCCAGATTTTAAGGTCTTCAGGGAGCCCCTTCTCTTGGTTGCATCATGGTAGAAGCACATTTGTGGGCACATGCCTTCTAGACAGCCTCTCCCAATCTCTGGAATCCTTGCTAAAGGAAGCTAAGCTGCCTCCTCTCTGTGGTCCTGACAGCAGCCAACGCCATTTTTATTCAGGCAGCCCTTTGGCATATAAGCTGGCCTGTTTCGGAAGGGTAGTTTGATTGATTGGGTTCTGTTTCTTATTTTTATCATTGCAGTTTTGCTCTGTTTGGTTTTATGTTCTGTCTTAATTAGGCATTGTTTTAATCCATATTTGTTTGCCACCTTGAATGCGGGGGGGGGGGGTTGCATTGACAGGATGGTGGGATGTACATTTAAAATACCACACTGTTTTACCTGGAAGCTTTGGCATGTAAAGCTATTGAGGTACAACCTTTCCATGGTGGGTTCAAAGTTGTTCATACCTTCCTCCATTACCACAAGGAATTCAGACAAAGCGGCACACATAGTTCTCCCTCCCAATTTTATCTTCACAACAACCCTGCAAGATAGGTTAAACCAAGGGAGTGCAGCTGGGAGTGCACTAGAGTGCATTAGAGCTCCTTAAGTGCAGATCTGAACCTGGGCTACCCTGTTCCTAGTCAAATGCCTATGCACTCATATGTGCACAGAGATCCTATGCACCTTGCAGGTGCTCTGCCGCTTTCTCCATGATTCATCAATCTAGACAGAACACTTGCCTGAAGAAATGCAATGACAAAGGCAGTAACTCACTCTGAGAAGCATCAGGCAGCACGCTTTGTGGCTGAGTAACTCTGAACTCCCAGGAGACTTTTAATTATTTCATGAATGCATTTTTCATGCCACATGGAGCTTCAGCAGATACATTATGAAGCCACTCCCATGGATGAAGCGTTGTCACTTAGTACTTTAAAAGTTAAGCACTGGCTTTATGCTCTATTAAAGTCTGTGATTTTATTAGATACAATTATATTCTATTAATTTTTTGTTTCTACGCTTACTGCTATTATCAAATAGGATCATGTTCTATTACTTTTTGCTAATATTAAACAAGACTATTAATTTATGCCATTTTATTAATTATTATAAGCTGTGAAAATAAACAACAATGAACTACTTAAGCTGCTATGAATGCTAATAAAACTTTGGTTTATGGAAATGTACTGCTTTAGTTTTGCAAAACACTCTATTCATAGCCATGGCTAAAAGGCAGCGAAGAAATTCCATCAGCTTTCGAAGTGCTCTCTTTGACGAGCAACGTGCAGCCCCCCCCGCCCGCCTGCCTCGACTCTCCTCACCGAAAGAGCCGCTCCCGGCCCTGCGTCTGGTTGGCAAAGTGCACGAACGCCTCCATGCCGCCCGAGCCGCAGCAGCACCGCTCCGAACGCCCAGCCGGAACCGGAGGCGGGTCGCCCCGCCCCCTGCGGTGTGCCCGCCCCGGAATTACGCACTTCCGGCCCGGGTTGCTATGACAACCATTCAACTTCCCAATAGCGGCGAATGGTCGTGTGAGAGCAGGTTCGTGTGCGGGGCGTGGGTGTAAAGGGGTTGGGATTGCACTTTATAGAATCATTATTTTTACTATTATCAGCTTATTTTCTTTGTTTATCCGAAGCTGTCTGAGAGGTTTAGAGCACTGCATAAAAAGCAATGCAGCCCAATAAAATGCTATTACAGTTTATCCAAAATACCAACACTTTAAACCAAAATTTAGAATATATTAAACAAAACTGAATCCTGCCTTTTCTTTCCTGGAGTAAGCTAAGGGGTGTAAGAGGATCTCCCTCCTCCCCATAAGAACTCACTCTGCCACCAACAGGTTCCCCTCCTCCTTAGGCTCTTCTCCAGTGAGTCCTTCCTTCTCATTAGGTGACCAATGTATTTGAGTTTCATCTTCAGTATCTGACTTTCTAAAGAAAAGTCAGTGTTGATTTCCTTTAAGATTGTCTGATTTGATCTCTTTGCAGTCCAAGGGACTCTCAGGAGTCTCCTCCAGCACCACAATTCAAAGGCGTCAGTTCTTTGGTGCTCAGATTTTCTTAGGGTCCAACTCTCACAGTCATACATTACAACTGGAAAAACCAAAGCTTTGCCTATACGAACTTATTTTGGCAGGGTGATGTCTGGACTAGCATTACTTTCACAATTTAGGGAACAAGTGGGACAAGATGTTAATTAATTTGTCATCAATTCTTTAATAACAGAAAGATTAATAAGAGCAAGGAATTGGAAAAGGTGATTATCAATTAGACGACTGGTATGTAGAAGTGTATATAGTATAAACCATATGGTATACAGAGGAATGTTGTCCATGGGGTCGCGATGGGTCAGACATGACTTTGCAACTAACAACAAGAACAAATATAAAAGTTTGGAATATAGCTATTAATGATAAGTTAACCTGTGATATCAAGTGGAAAAAGGGTTTGATAAGTAAAAATAATTTTGAAAATATTTGGAGACCATTTATTGAATGTCTTAATAAAAAGTAACGAGTATGAACTATCACAAGATTTCATGCAGTTCTGGAAGGGAAGTGAGAGTGGAACAGCCTGAATAAATAAATGATCTTACATTAAGTAGCATGATTTGTTGGTCCTGGTGGAGGTAGCACTGTTATTATTGTATTGTTTAATTATGTTCCTTACTATTATATTAATTGTGTTATTTATGTTTGTTCAATTAATAAACAATTAAAAATGAAATGGCAAACAGCATTAATGTATAGCAAGACCTTGGGCTTCTTCTGACAGGGCAGCAGTGGAGGGAGGTAAGAGTCCTACTAAACAGAATCAGGCCATGAAATCCTCTTTGTCTACCTCCTTGTCTCTGCTGCAGTCCTTCTTACAGGGCAGTTGATGGCACCAGATCAGAGGAAGCTAATGGTAGATGGCCCTGCGGAGCGGAATATCCATCTGGAATAGGGTTCTTTGTTCTGCTTCCCTCCTTATTCCCTTTCTTTAAATATTAACAAGAATGCCTTAAAAATAGGCCAATGATTAGACTGAATTTTATTGCAGAATTTTTTTAACACCTGAAATTCTATCCTGTTGTATCTGGTTCACAGAGGAACAACAAAAGTAAAGAGAAGATGCCTTTCTATCTGCGGAAGCAACCGCTGGAGATCCCATCACCAACTGAAAAGGACTGGATTAAAAAAGATGAGGAGGAGGATTTCTTACTGAAAGACCCTGATGAAATCCTTGATTCATTGCCTCAGCCTTTTCTGATGATCAATAAAGTGGTGATACTTTTGTTTGAACGTGCCTGGGAAATTATTGAGGGGAAGTGTCCGCTGGAAGAGACAAAGCAGCAAAATTTCACTCATGTGCTGTGCCAGCCTTCTGCTGAATTTCAGGTATTCAGAGACCCTCCCAAACAAATTAACATTGGACTCTAGTTTGGTCAGGAATGGGAGCCATTACTTCAGAATAGCTCTCACTAACTGCAGTAGGCTGTAAATTGGATTTTACCTAAAAGTTTCAGTTCTTTTAAAAATATGTATTTATTCCTTTAAAAGTTTTGTTACATATTCCTGAGAGAACAAAATACAAGACTGTTGTTTACTGTAATGTCTAACTTGAGCCTGATTTCACGGTAAACATCTGCAGACTGCAAGTTGTTGTTACTTTTACGCCACCCTTTCTTTCTGAAGCAGGAATAGCACTTGGGTGAACAACCATGGGTCTTCCCTCTGCCTGTGTTAGCCTCAGAACAGAGCACAGGAGAGGAGCACAGAGGGCTCCTTGCTGGAATTGTTGTTTTGACATCAGCTCTGTATTTTTAAATGACTGATTATTGTAATTCTTTTTCATTTCCAATCTTCTCAGGTAGTAGGAAGGGTGAACTGCCTGGCAGCCTCTGGAGGATATGCCTTCACTGGCCTTTCCACGGGACTTTCTGTCTTCAGCCTACCCCAGTGTGAGAAGCTTTGTGCTTGGGAGGTAGCCAAGCTTGAGATTTGTACCATCCAGGTTGCAGAGCTTGGCAGTGGTCCCAAGCTCCTTGGGGCAGTGGATGAGCTGGGTAGGTGTGACTGTTACTTATTTGCATAGCTGCAAAGCATGGTTAATTTCTACGTGGTTCCATGCCTTTATGAAATGTGCCTCCCAACAGCCTTGTGAGACACCAATTTCTATTTTTCCCATTTTACAGAAGGGGGAACAGAAGTTGGCATGTTCAGGATCACAGAGCTGGCTGGTAGCAGTTCTGAGAAGGTTCCTGTGCTTTAAACAGTGGCCAAGGAGGAGAAAGCTTGCTTGAATGTGTGTTGCTTTTTTTTGCTTTAAATGATAGGTTAGTCCTGCAGTTTTTTATATTGGCTCACAGTCCCATAATCCTATTTAGTCCTACATGTTGGAAGCTAATGTTTACCCAATTTGTATAAAAATGTGTGTGTGATTCAAATCCTGGAAGAAACTACTCCACATGATAGCAACTGCTCATTTTCATGCCTGGATTCAAAGATCTGGGGGCACAGGGTCCTAAAAGCCAGATGAGGCTGAATGCATTGAGACTTGGCCAAAATATAACTAGGAAAGGCATAACTCCCACACTTTCAGTCTACAGAGCAAGTCTGGCCTAGGTCTGATTGGCCATAACAGGAAAGAAGAATTCAGGTGCCTGTTGCACACTCCCACTTGGCTGTTCCTGCTGGTAGGAGTGGCTAAATAGATCAAGAAAAGTGCATCTGTGCTTTACTTAGCTGTGTGTCTGAGCCTAGATCCTTGGCCTTTTCCTGAACTAACAAGTCAGAATCATTTAGAAAGCCAACCAACCAGCCACTGCAGTTCAGACATAACAGTGACAAGTTCCTTGTCTGTTTAATTCCTGCTGGCAGAAGAAGCTGAGCAGGAGCAGTCAAGCAGTATGGACAAGCGCACTTGCTTTTTCTTGATATCATTCCATCCAAACTGGCCAGAAATTTTGGGCCTTACCATATGACAGCCTAGTGCTATCCAGGAGGCTCCTTGGCTTGTCTTTTCCTTAGGCCAGAGCTTGGTGACAGTGCACAGATGAAAATTTTGCCCTGCTTGTAAGTTCCAAGTTTAGAACCTGCTGTGAAAGCACTCATTTTTCCTCCCCAGAGGTTTTTTTTTTTTTTTTTTTTTTTTTTTTTTTTTTGCTTTCTTGCAGTATGTGTGCATTTGTTTGTTCATTGCAATATCTATAGGTTACTTAAATCATCTCAGGTGCAATCCTATATAAGTTTAAGTAAGAAACTGTTCTACAGTTCCTAGCATTTTCCACCCATCATACTTACTCCCTGGATAGGGAATGCTGGGAGTTGTAGTACTTTCTAAATATGCCTAGGAAAGCATTTTAATCCTCCACTTTCTGCCATAGTTCTTGATCTGTTCTCTTTCAGTAATACAATTTGTTTTGGTTTTCCTTCTTGGCTTTGCTTGGCCAGAGGTGTCCGTGACAGTTAACACTCTGGGCAGTTGAAGTGGATATTGAAGGGGTGGCAGGGAGAGTGGAGACTGTGATGTAGACAGAAGTGATCTGTGCAAGGCTGTCATGGATTGCTGACTCTACTATTTAACAGTAGTGGTTTCCTGCTCCTCCCAGTCCCCCTAGTTATTTTGCTGAAATAAAGAAAATCGTGGGTTAACCAGTAGATTTTTGTGTGAAGTACTGGTGCTCAGATGAGTTCTTGGTTAGAATTATTCAATTCAAACTATGCCTTCTAAAGCAGGATCCAGAGGGTAGATCTTGGCATTCTAGAGCAACAAACAAACAAACACTCCTCTGTACTAATCTCATAGGGAAAACAGCCCCACCCTCTTGGAAGTGAGTCTTGAATACCAGGAATGGGTAGTATAAGATGTCCAAAAGAGCACTTTTTTTCTTGCCCAGGTAAATCATATCAGCACTTTCCAGAACTAAGTGGCAACACTGAAAAATGTATAAGGTTGGTCAGAAGCTATCAAACATTGTGCCAATGAACATGAAGGAGATAAAATAGTCTAATGCAACCACTCTTTTGTTTTCTAGGTTTTGCCCATCTTTTTTATTTTTTCAGAGAGAACCTGTTGCATATAAAAAACATAAATGAAGTGGTGAGTCTACTACCTTTCCCTATATATCTGTATGTTAGATGGATATGCTACCCAAACCTTGATTTTTTGAAAACCTCAGTCCTCCAGATCTGTGGTGCTGTATGCTAGGGTAATCATAAATAAAATCTTTTCATGTATTCTATTGAATTTTCATATTTAATTTTTCCAGTTGCCTCATATAATTTCATATTTAGCCCAGTACTAAGTGTACCTTACTTGGAGGTAAAACCCATTAAGGGTCATGCTGAATGTAAAATAAATTTAAGAGTAAACAAACCAGAGTCCCACTGATGTCAGTGAAAGAAAGGCATGGTACAGTAACTTTGGCTAAGTAGCTTAAATGTGTAAACCAAAGGTCCAAGGAGGAATTAAAAGTGCCTTCTGAGTGCCTTCACTTTTCTATTAGTCTCCTATGCTTACTTTTAAGCCCCCTCTGTATTCAGAGAAGAGCTGCCAATGCTGTTTTTGAAGCTACTACAGCCAACCACTGAGAGTTTTGTTTTTAAATTTTGGCTTTTGATGACCTATTTTATGGTTGATGCTATATTTCTTCCTGATTGAGTGCTTTCAACAACTGTCCATTAATCTGAAATTCAACGGGTAAAGCTTCTACCCTGGAGAAGTAAAAAATCCCCCAACTACTGCATAGTCGTCATCTGCACCTGATCACTTTAGTAGTTTGGCCAAGTTCAAATGTATATTTTTAAAATTCATATACCACTCTTAATGTAATGAAATTCCTGAGTAGTGAATAATGCAAAAGAAGACAAGTGAGAAAAAGAAACAAAATGCAGAGTTAAACATTTTTAAATCAAATTATTATATTTAAACCTTAGAAGCCTTAAATTCATGGAAGGCTTGCTTAAATACCATTATCTTCAGCAAGCGCACATACACACATCCACAAATCAGACCCACCAAAACCTAACTGCCTCCTCCTCTCACAAAGTTCCCAGTGACATCAATAGGCAGATAGTTCTAGAGCGGGGGCAATATATTGAAGACTCTCTTCCAAGTGGATTTTAAACACACCACAGATCCACGTGAAACCACCAGGAGGACCCTTAGATAGTAAAATGAGTTATCATTTCAGATTCCAGAAGCAGTGGTGAATTTGCTAGGGCAATCCAGATTTCATGGGTTCCTCTCCGTATAAAACCTCCCCCTGCAAGGCTTCCTTGAGGAAGTCCTTTGCTCTCACCATTCTAAAACTTCTCGGGCAACACCTTGATGTTCCAGGAGCTGTGCAAGAGATACATGAGGTCAGATTGCCTTACTTGTTCTCTGATCACCATGCATTTGCTTTCATTCTCTTTCTACCCTTTGCACAGGATGATATGAGCAAGCGAAGCACATGTACAGCACTGGAGCTCTCTCATGCGGGTGATTATGCAGGCTTCCTGCTGCAAGGCAAGTCCCCACCAATGCTTTGTTGGGTATATGGCCAAACATGCTCAGATCTGTGAACTTGTTCATGGCTGTATTTATATTTATTGAAATGGGTCCCTGAGGTTTCCCTTCAAAATTTCCCTCCCTGCTCTAAAGTACCTCCACTGCTCTATCAAATCATCCACATGAAAAGTCTGTACAATGGCCCACTTGTCTTGGATACATAACATGTTCATTTGTATTTATGTTGCATACTTATATCACACCTTCTTGGAGGGAGTCCTCACAGCATGGCTATTGGAAATAGGCTGTCAGCCTAAATACACTTACCTTCTGAATTTCCCAGGGGTTTTCTTCTGAGTAGGTATGTATAGGATTTCACTAGCAGACATTAGAACCACCTGTACACCACAGTGCAAAATGTGAAAACCGTAACACAGTGTATATTGAGTCCATGTAAAAATATTCAAAAAAGTTTTATGGAACAAAACCATAATCAAATTCCATCTGATGACTCAACTGTGTTCCTTAGAAGGTACTTCTGGCCCACTACTGAAGAGTGCCTGGTGCATTGGTGAACATAAACAACTAGTCCTTGTCGATATTTTTCTTGAGCCACTAGAACTAAAGATGTGGCAGTTTCTTCTGTCCTTTGAAGAGGCTGTTTCTACCTTCCTTTGATTTGCACTGGGAATTAAAAGGCTTCACAAGCCATAAAATAAGAAGAAAACAGAACAGCTTTAGAAAATACCCTTGATCAAATTATAGGGGTTTCTTTAGCATAATGGAAGGCTTCTTTTGCTATATGTAGGTCTGAAATACATTTAGATATATGCAGATTTCCTCCCCTCTTCCCCCTGTACTTGTACTGCTTGTTATATATTATTAGCTCTCAGAGAGTCCTGTCAGGCCATTGAGAGACATAAAATTTGAAAATAAATAAATCATATATGTAAATCATAAGTAACAAATACATTTGAATAGCAAAGAAACCAGTTCTTGTCATGTAACTTGAACTCCATTTGGGAATTTCATTACTTGGTAGTGGAATATTTGTTACAAAGTCAATGCTGCAATTTTGAGATGCAAACCTTTTGAATAGGACCTGTACTTTCTGAATATGATTGTTTCAAATTTGGGGAAATCGATATGTTTTGAATGCATGTGAGTTTTTGTTTCCAATGAGGAAAGAAATTATTTTCTCTTACAGCTGACCCTTCTGCTGCTTCTAGAGGCTTGAAGGCCAACTATTAAGAAAGAGGGAGGGAGGGAGGGAGGGAGAGAGAGTAAAAAGCCCTTAGCAACCCAGAAATAGCTGGTAGGTGGGCACGCATTCTGCTGAGCAAATTGGCACCACATGTGGACTTGTCAGGAATGTGGCATTAGTAGGATCTCATTCTTTCAGAAGTATGTTGTAGATAATGAAAAAGGAGTCGTTTGGTTTTAGGGGATATCACAAGAGAGAAAGCCTGAGTGGGAGACCTTTCTTTTTCTTCCCCAACACTTAAAATGCTTTCTTCTGATTTCCCAATGCAGGGAGCTCAGAGGCTTGGCTGGAAATTTACCGATTGCCTAAGGATTCCTGGATGAAGGAGACGGAACATGTCCAAACAGTTACAACTCCAGTTCTGCCATCTGCTCCAGGGTTCATAAAGGAGACAAAAATCAGCCAGCCATCCTTATTGGAGAAGTCTGTGGTAAGAGATGGAAGATGTAATTCCTCTAGGGCTATTAGTTATTACCAGCCCTTTAGCTGTTGACACATTATTGAAACTTATGTCTGAAGTGCCTTCAAATCCATCCGGATTAGGACACTGGAGTCCAAAGCTGTTTTCTGTTAATGTAGCTACTGATCTGCTACATACAGACATTGGTTAATGTATTGGTGAAGCCAGCAATTTGTGTGCTGCCTCCACCTCTTAAAATATGCTTGGCTTGCTATCTTTTGTTGAAAGGTCTTCTGTTGAAAGATGTTAAAATAAGGTTTGATTGGACGAAATGGAACAGACAACCTCTTAAACATATGCTAATGTTTGATGTGAAATGGCTTAGTTTCTGTGACTGTACCCCAACATACAAATTTAATCCATGTAGCATTATGGCAATATTCTTCTAAACTTGGTATAGCTGCTCATTAGGTTCAACTCTCACACTTCTGATTTAATAAACCACAGTAAAGCTCCCCAGTTTCTTGACAACTTCCACCCTACCTCCAACTTTTTAGCCCCAGGCAGAAAGCGACCCATGGAGGTTAGTGGAGCTCAGTGGGAGCTGCCATGCCCAGCTGGTAGGAGTGCATTCACCTTTGGCAGTCTGGGATTGTGGATTTGTGCTTAACCAATTCAAAATAAGAGAAGGTTTTGATATGACTTGTTGCTAAAGCTTTTGCTTGGTGAGCCAGTGTGGGATAGTAATTTGCTGGATTTGGACTTGGGAGGCATGGATTTAGTCCCCATGAAGCTCACAGGACTTTGTTGCAGCCTCAGCTTTCTCCCAGAGTTGTTGCAAGTGTAAAACATGAGAGGAGGACTGTTTAAGCCATCTTGGCTTCCTTGGAAGAGGAGAAAAGGGAGGGATATAAATATGGCAAATCCACAGAAGTGGCTGACAAACATTCAGTCACATTCAGTCCGATGTATTAGCCTGCCACCTTCCATATGCCTATTTACTATTTACAACTGGTGTTTGCTATTTGTAGCCCTGAAAGAAACAGAGCAGACCAACAGGATAATATATCCTAACAGAAAAACTCATTCAATAAAAGAATTGGCATAAGCAAATTGGTGAAAGCTGTATTAAAGGGAACAATTGGTCTCCTCTATATGTGTGGTTTTACATAAAAAGATACAATAAATGTATTGTGCTATAATTATTAAACAAATATTTAAAAAACAGTATCAGAATCAAATGCATTTTGACCAGAAAGGACTTGTTCACTGGTTTAGTATACAAAGAAACACAGGCTTATATGCACTTACATACAATATTATATAATCAAGACGTCTCACATAAATACTTAAATGTATGAAACTGTGATGTTCGCACCTAGAATTAAGAGATTTTATTCATTAAAAATATAGAAGACCAGCTTGGTCAGTGTTAAAATGTGTATGAACCAGAATGCCCTGAATGAAACAGCTGCACAGCTTCCTTACCTAGCCACACAGATGAGATTCTTAATTTTCCAGGCTACCAGGCCCACTGTTTCTTGGTGTGAGGCAAGCTGGTAGATTCTGTTGGCCTGATGATCTCAGATTTTGTTATCTGAAGAGCTTTTCAGGCTGAAGACAAGGAAATCATAAGGTTGTTTTTAGTTTACATTAAACACACATGCATACACACACGCACGCTTCAGTCAGTTCTGCCTAAAGATGCTTATCTTTAAGGGACTTGATCAGCCTTCTGTTACATTGCCAGTTTCTGTTTCTCTTCCATTACCAGCTCTCCTTGCTTCGTTTCTGTAACTTTTCTCAAAGTTACACTTCTGCTGCTGTCATGTGGTTTTCACACAGTCTACCTCCTGGGAACCTTTTCCACATTAACTTGTTTGCTGAGGGATACTTACCTCAGCTTTATGTGTGCAGTTCACTGGTCAGGCATCGCTGAGCACCATCATCATCATCATCATCATTCCTTGTGAACTGGGAATGCCAACTGGAGCACACCCACAGTGCCCTACTGTACTTTCATGTTGAAGGGATGTGTCAGCAGTTGTTGCCAAACAGTATTTTAGGAGACCTAACTCCCATTACAGATCATGCTGTTCGAAGAACTCCTCCTATACTTCTGAGGATCCCTGCTAGCCCATAGGATTACATGTTGAAAACCATTGCTAGAAGAGCTCTGTAAATCTTGAACTTTTCCATTGTCCCCTCCCAAGGAATCAAGTTGGTACTGCATCACTTTTAACTAATTCATATTTTATAAAGGTACCTAGCATTTTTCTCTAGGTTCATAATGGCGACTTCCAGTTTTACTATGCATTGATGCATATGTCTGTGTTAAGAACTGCCCCCATTGCAAATAAACCTAGTAGATAAATGAGCTACTTCTGAAGGGGTTCATCAAGAGAGCTTTCCTCCCATTTGTATGGTCCAGGTACTTTGTTTCCCCTTGAAAATAAAATTAATATTAAATGAAGTGATGGTATCTTGGAGTTCTCCTCTTGTGAGGAAGCAGCCCTTCTCTCTGAGATTGTTTGGTGTACCTGAGAATTAAAGAACAGACCTTAGTTTAGTAATGCTAAAAGAAGCAAACAGTTTTTTAAAAATGGGCTTGCTTGTTAATTTTTCAAAACAGAATGATACTTGGTTCCTGTTTATTTTCACTTTCTTCTAGGAAGAGCAAGAACAACCCTGTGTCTTAAGGATTTATTGAGCTGAGGTTCTATGGAAGCATCTTCTTAGAGTATTCTTGGTACATTAGATGGACTGCAGATATTGTATATTAACTTTTTATTTTTGTCATTCTGTAGCAGAAGAGTACAGATGTCCCAGTATGTGGCCTTGAAGACATGGTAAGCAGATCATACTTAAACTTGTCCAGGGCTACTGAAAGGCTTAGAGCCCTGGTCATCAAATTATTTCTCCAGAGGGCCACTTTGAGAACACATTTGCATATGGTGAACCAAGTGCCCAGTTACCATTCCTGTAGTGCTCTTACTGCACGCTGTTTCTTCATGCCATCTTGCTGCTCTTTTGACAACAGATGTATCTTGGGTGGGGGCACACAGCATGCCTTCCAGAGCTGTTTTTGCTTACAATGCTTGAGTTACTGACTCCAGGTTTAGATTTAGATGGGTAAAACTTTATATCATGCTGTGTTTTATATCATGCTTGTTCCTTGCTGTGGAACAAGAAAGACCTTCTGGGCACATATGACATAGCTATGTTTTCAGAGACAAGTCTGTTTTATTGTAGCACTGAGGAAGTTCCAGTATCAGCTGGTTGATCAACTCTCTGAAGTAGAAAGGGTTTGACTACAGGGCAATAGTCCTGCTTGGTTCCCTGTGGGTAGCGTAATGCAACAAAGAACACGCCTTGAAATGGCAAGGCAACATTTTTGCAACATTTTCCCCCTTTCCTCTTCTATTTTGGTTGACATTTTACAATAAAAAGTTGGTTTAAAAATAGTTCATCTTTCCTCTTTGCTGTATTACAGGATTTACAACAGATGCTAAGTAGACTTGAATCTAGGTTGATCCCCCCTGTTTTGCTGTTGAAGGTCAGATCACCCAAACTGCTCACAGGTCAGAGGTCTCCTAAACCTCTTTGTGTGTGTGGGGGGGGGGGAGGGGGGCGTTATCAGGCAGACTTCAGTAGGTTAGATGGTGCTGGGTAAACTACCAGTTTTATGTTGCCCTGTGGTTGCTGCTGGAACAAAACCCACTTGGAAGATACAGAGTTGGTAAAAACTCTTGCATAGTTTTTTAAGCAAGGGGTGCTCATTGTGCTTTCCTAACCTTCATGAGGTGGAGCATGGAGCAAAGCATCCTTAGTCATGGCCTCCAACTTTTCCAGGTACCTTGTCCGAATGCAGCAGAAGCTGGGGAGGTGGGCCCTTGGCGTGTCCTGGGGGATCTTGGCAAATGCAATATACAGAAGACTGAAGAAGTAATCCATCTCTTCAGTGTTTTACCCCTGAGAAGCCAAGCCCAAATGATACCACTACTCTGGACTACATATGAATAAGGTGGGAGTAGAAGATTTAAGGTGAATCAGATGACTGTGAATGGGGTGTTCTAAGCCTGTCTTATATGCATTCACATTCAGCAAGCCAATTTAAGAATCCCTTTGAAGCCTTAATGAAGAGTGATGATGGCAGTGGGATTGGTTTGGGACATAACCACATGATCCGAGAGTGCCAGTTTGAGCAGCAGGAAGCTATTTTTAACAGTGCTTTTCAGCAGTTCCTGGAGATAGAGAATGATCTGGATGGCAAAGAGGCAAAGCACAGGTAAGGTGGTGGGGAGGGGGGCAGATAAGACTGATTTCTTCCTCCTAGCCTTTGTAACACACTCATGGGAGTAGAGCAGCAAGAATTCTGTAGAGAAGCTGAAGCTGACAAAGTTCACTGTCCAGATCATGGGGCAATTTGAAAATGTTTTGACAACATTTCATAATGTTGATTATAACTGGAAGCCACCTTATGCCTTAAAAATAGTATGGAATAAAAGTTTTTTAGCAAATAAGCAAATACCAGAATTTCTTCTACAATCCAGCTTTCCCAGCTTGGCAACTCCCAAATGTTTTGCAGTGGAACACCCATAATTCCTAGTCAGCCATGATTAACTTAAGTCCTGTTCATTTCAGTTGAGCTATTCTCAGTATAATTTGTGTTGGCTTTTATCAACCTATGCCATATTGCGGCTTTTTGAAATGAATCATTATCTCTCCTTATTTTAGCCACACTATGTTTCATTTCCATTTGCCTGGCCACACCCTGCCTGCTGGACCTGAAAACAAAGCTGAGCCAGGTAATTTCTGCTTTTGGTTAGGGCATATACATTAATCTTTGGTAGGATTCTTGTTTCAAGCATTAACAAAATCAGTCAGGGGGAGAATTTGGACCTCAGTGAATTTTGCAGGTGCCCCCCCATGTGTGTGTGTGTTTTAATTTGCTTTTACCCCACCTTTCTCATAAAGATGTCACCCAAGGCGGATTTTGACTTTCCCATTTTGCTTCCATAGCATTTGGGGTGCAGGGAGAGAAGTACAATGCTAGAACCGCCTGCTTTTCCCCATGCCCTGTCTTTGACTGCCTGCTCTTGCTCTCCTCCAGATGTGCCTGTTGCATTCAGTGTTCATTGGAGCACAAGCCACAATCTCTGCTTCTATCTTCTCAGTCGTCCACCAAAGGAGAAACCAGGTAATGCAGTGTTGGTGCAGATACTGTCATGAGTAGTGGCTGAAGCTCTGTGCACTAGGTCATACTTCACTGTGATCCCTCCCAGATGAAATTCTAGGGCATATTCACTATACAGGCCAGAGCTGTTGAAGCCAAGGACTGAGTTCTGTTTTGGAGAAGGGACCAACCTTCCTGGATAAAGAAAAGGCTGCACTAAAGCTCAAACCACCCAGTGAAGGGTGGCCAGAAGAAAGGTGATGGAGGGAACACTGGGGCCTGAGATTCTGCACATCTGTTACAAACTTACAGTACCTTTCAGCCATTGAGACTCAGCATTGATTGTGGTCTGGGTAGCAAAGGAGACTCCACAATAACAAAAGGGCAACTGGGAGCATCAAAAATCTCAGAACACGGATGCACGCTTTACATACTTTGGGCGAGCGTCAGTGCAGTTCATTTGTTCTCTGGGCAAAGCATGCTGGTCTAACTGGGAAAGCAGCAAAGCATTCATCCCTCATAGCACTGCTTTTCCAAAGCAAATGAAACAGTATTTTGGACAATGGAGTTCTACTGTAGTTATTCATAATTACACACAGTGTGCAAAGACTTGTTTACAGCTACCTCTTGATTTGATTGTGATTGTCACTTGCTGATTGGTGCAGATTTTACGGAGCTGTTTGAAAACGTGTTTAGATTCCAGAGTGTTGACAGACAGGAGCCAGTTCAGCTCCAGGACTTCAGAGGGCTGTGATTTCTTCCCAAGAGAAGATACACTGGGTGATGCTCCAAATAATTAAAGGTCATTTGGAGAGGTGGAATCATACCTGAGGTGAAGGCTGGGGTTAGGGATGTCATCTTAGAAGGTTGTAGCCACAGGCTGGCAGGTCTGGTTAAGCAGACTTTTCTGCACAGGGAACCTCAAAAATTGTTTTGTGAGGGGTGGGTGGCAACTGGATATTTCTAACAAAACATACTCAGTGCCCTCACCAAATGGCAGTCCCTAGGACGCTTTGTGGGATGCCCCTGCAGTTAAAGTGTTATAAAACCAAGAAATTTGGGGCTCCATGGCTCTCTGCTGCCAGTTCTGAACCATGTCTCTGAAACACTCCCATCAATGTGTCCTAGAATTAGCAGGGAAACAATGCGCTACATGGTTGAACTGGCTTAGATAGTGACAAGCCTGCTTTGTAGCAGTTATTACATCAAACCTGCCAAAAGGAGGATTGTCTTCAAGAAACATGTCTAGCCTAGTGAAGAGAGGTGAGGCTGGCAAATTTGTAAGTGGGATGCGTTTTGGACTGGGCTAACACCACATTTCCTGTAAATTGGGGTCTTGTCTGAAATCAGGGTACCTCTGCTTCCACAGCTACTCCGCTCTTTCCTGTCAATTCCCCCACAAGGACAACCCTGTTGGGAACCTTTGAGAAGGGAGAGTTTTTAACTGGTGTCAGGGAGGACAGGAAATACTGATTTGGAAGCATGGGAATTGTACTTCCCTCTCTTGCTCAAACTGAATCGAGTCAAAGAAAACTGCAAACCTCATAATTAGAAGAAAGCTTTACCACCCCTTCCCATGCTCAGGGATGAGCTTTCCAGCCAAAAGGAGCCTGGAAAGGCATCTACCCATTTGACAGCACCACACCACTGATTAACGCCCCCTGCCCCCTCCTCCAGAGCAGCTCCCTGTCTTCTCTGATGTGTTTCAGCGTATGAGCCCCATTTGCACAGAGGAGATTCTTTGACAACCATGGTAGGCTTAAATCAGCTTGTGATCTGGGTTGTCAAAGGGAGGAGCTTCATTCCTCCCCGCAGTGCTCCCTGTGCTATCAGCAGGAGCAATGATGCGGGGATGGGGGGGGGGGCAAGGGAGGAAGCAAAGCGACCATGAAGAGCCTGATCAGCTTTTGGTCTCATGACTACTTGGCACTCAGCAGCAAACCCTCATGGTGGTTTACCATGATGAGTTACCAGTATGTGCAAACCTGCCCATTGTGGGCTCCCCTGCCAAAAAAGGCAATCCTGTGGGGCAGGGAAATACATGTTCCCATGGTGTCACATCATGCAGTAAGCGCAGAGGGGAGGGGAACTTAATGCAGAGTTGCCATTTGCAGAGTCAGTTCCATCTGCCTGGCAAAATACTGTTTTACCTGTAGATGTAGCATGAACTTAAACGAGGGGGAGCATTTTACTTGTGACAGCGGCAAAGCCGTGAAATCGTGGAAAGCTGACTTGTATCCTGAGACTGGACTACATTTTAACCCATAGGATGCTGAAGGAGGGAGCTGTGAGGACAAAGTGTCTCCTAGGCAGCTTACATGTCCCAGCCTCCAAATGAGGCCCTGTGGTTGCCGTTGGGGCAGTCCAGAAGCACAGTCCAGTGAGATGTGTTTGTGGGCATGAAAGAGTCGGGGGGAGGAAGTGCACCCACCCTGCTCCATGCTGGGACCCATCAGGGTAGCCTTTCAACTTTTGGCAGCAGGGAAATAAAATAATATTTATTTATTTTATTATTTTATTTTATTTATTTGGGATTCTTATATGCTGCCCCATTCGCATAAGCTTCGGGGCAGCTTCCATCAAATAAATAACAATACAAATATATAAAAATTAGAAACATCCAGGCAATACGTTAAAACAATAAATAAATTAACAATTAATTAAAATAACATTTAAATAAAAAGGTCTTGGCCTGGTGCCGAAAAACAAATAACGACGGCGCCGTGCGGACCTCTCTGGGGAGCGCATTCCAAATAATAGACTGGCTTCTGCTTGTTGGCTGCCACAGTACAGTTAGCCAAGAAGAAAGGTAAGCTGAAACTGGAGCAGCAGCTGCTGTAAGGAAAAGGCACTGTCTCTTTCCCTTTCACAGATTCCACCACTCACAGGATCTTCTCTTCTTTCTAGATTCTGATCCAAAACCAGATGTTGTTTGGCCATGTGCTGCTGTGATTACATGCTCAGCTGTCACGCCTTGCTCTTCTTACCTGGCTTTCGCCTGTGAAGACGGGGCCATTACTGTTTGGGACAAATCTCTTGGTGAGCTGCTCCCTTTGCAGTGTTGTGAAGGGCCATTCCGTCTCCAAGGTTTTAGGGTGTGGCTCCAGCAGTGGCCTGAGAGTGCCTTGGCCCAAGTTAGATGTCTACACTATTTCTGGAGAAGACTGATCTGACAATGGCTATACTTGCCCCTCTTGTATGAAAGCTGGAAGTATTAATTGGAGGAATGCTGAAATCATCGGAAGGCTGTGCAGTCACCTAGGAGGGGAAATGAAATGGTTTGCTACCTCCCTGAGTGTCTTCACCAATATCATTCACAGCTAGCCAGGCTTAACTTGTGGCCTAAAAAGCACTGGCGAGAGCACTTGGCAATGAAATAGGGGAGGAAGCTCCAGAAACAGGTGTTCAACTGAAAAGGCCCTGCTCAGTGTCACTTGTTACACCCCCGAAGATAGAAGCATTCTGTGCAGGGTCTCTGGACATCTTGGTAAGTGAGCTGGTTGCTGTGGGAACAGAGGTGGAGCCCAGGTACCCTGGTCCCAGGTCATTTGAAGCTTTGTGGAGCCGGCTTCAGCGGAGGAAGTGTAGGCCTACTTCACTGGCTGTGCTATGATCAGCTCCATCAGGTTATATTTAAACAATAATTTAACAATTTTTAATGTCATCTATAGGTTTTTTTTTAATTTGCAGCCAGGCTGAATCTGGATTTTATGTGCACTATTTGTATTTGTATTTATTTATTGTATGTAAGCCGTCCCGAGGCTCATGCAAATGGGACGGCATACAAAAATTATAATAAATAAATAAATAACCTCAGCTAGAAGAGCAAGCAGATTGTGTGCCCTCCAAGTCGACCTTCTGTACCTAAATTTTCATAAGGAAAAGGTGGTCCTTCGTATGGAGCCAACCTTTCTTCCAAAGGTAGTGACAACCTTCCAGCTGAATCAAGCATACTTCCCAGCAGCATTGAGTCTGATTGAAAGATCACTCCATACTCCTGATGTCTGCAGGGCACTCACTTTCTATCACTCCTGAAGTGAACCATTCCAAAAAACCAAACGACTGTTCATTGAATATTCCCAACATGACAAAGGAACACCTATAGGACCCCAACTCTTATCTAAGTGGATGGTTGAAACCATCAAGCTTTCTTGCCAACTTAGAATTGCCAGTCCTTCCGAAGGGCCACTTGACCAGAACCGTTGCTACCTCATCAGCCCTTCACACCAGCACACCACTACAAGGCTTATGCAAAGCTGCTACATGGTCCACCCCATGTACCTTCATTTGACACTACCACCTTGCTATAAAGGCGAGGAGAGACTGCTCTTTTGGTCGTGTTGTCCTTTCAACTGTCCTGCAGTGACTACCTCATGACTAGGTTGGGAAAGCTTGCCAGTTGCCCATCTGTGTGATGCATAGAGGCCACGATGAAGAAAGGCAGGTTGCTCACCTGTGACTGTCGTTCTTCGAGTGGTCAACTGAGCATTCACACAACCCACCCGCTGGCCCCACGTCTTCATTGGTGGATGGATTTAAGCAGGCTAAATTGTTCCTTCTGAACATGTCAGTACCAGTTGGAGAGCAAACAGTCAGTCTCCAGCTGGACTGGCAATGGCGGGGAGGGGACTCCACAAGGGGGAGGGGGTGTGGAGTTCCCACCAAAAATATTAATAAGCTGAGAGAATTTGCCCAAATGCAGGCACCGCGCGGGCATAACCCCCATATGTGTGATGCGCAGATGACCACTCGAGAAACAACAGTTACAAATAACCTGCCTTTTTCTTTCCTGACCCCTTCTACCTTCTGTGTGCTGCTTTTCAGTTTGTGAAACTGTGAGGGCAGGTACTATCATGTCTGTATTCATAATATGTTAGCCACTCTGGGAGCGGCTTCTGCTGAGCAGAGTAAAATTGCCCTGAATACCTAAGCAAGCAAGCACTTTTGAATTGTGCCTAGAAACAAATGCATAACTGATGCCATTTTTTAAGGGCTGATTATGTGTCTTAGAACTCCATCTTCAAGTCCTTTGCAGCAGTTTTGTGATGGGTGTACAGGTTAGAGCAGCCAATGTGGCAAGTTTTGAAAATCCAGCCCTTAGATAATTTCTTGCTATCTTGTGGGGAAAAGGGGAGGCTCAGGCCAGCTCTCATCACCCAAAATAGTAGAAGCCATCCCTCCTGCTTTGTCCAAGGTGATCCTGCTCTTATTTGTGTCCTTGTGGTGATGATTGTGCTTTTCTAGGGTTCCCATTGGGTGTAACTGTGCTTCCAGAGGGATATGTTATACGAAGCATCCAGTTCATGCCGTGTTCACCACCACCTGGCAGGAAAACAGCTTGCTCTAATAAGGCCTCTGCTTGTACCAAAGTTCAGCTTCTGGTGTTGTGCACAGATGGCTCTCTCCACCTGATCACAGCGGGGGCCAAAGAATTTAACACCAAACTACTGGGATACAGGTGATGCAGAACAAGTTGCATTAGAGGCCCAGAACGTGTGTGGGTGGGTGGTGGGGCTGGTGGTGGGGTCTCACGCACTGTGGTCCAGACACTCTATGAAAAACAACAGGCTCTGTCTTCTTGTTACCCCTTCCCCACTCAAAATACTTGCCACGAGAGAAAGTTCTCTTTGTGAGATTGGACTAGGATCAAAGCCCCCAAACTACTAGTGAACTTGTTATGGGAGAGTGATGGAGTCATTTTTGCCATGCAATGCATGTATGTGTCTCTCAAGAAGATAGCAAGATTTGTAATTTCTTTTTGGAGATTGCACAGAGGGATAATCAGAAGGACATTTGGAACACAATGCATATTACCGGGTAAATGAGACATAACATAGAAACATAGCAAATCAGAAGGGGCCTAATGATGTAGAAGCAGATGCAGAGGAAAATGATATTGCCTCACAGAGGAGAAATCTCCAGGCCTTGGCTAAACACAAACATACATTTTCTTATTCATTAGAATCACCCCACCTCTACGATTCTGAAGCATTTATTGGAAATTCCAGGTGCATTTCCAATATTTTCCCCAACAAGCATGAGAACTAGCAACATTCTCCTTTAAAAATGGACATAGAGCAGACTTTCATGCATATTTACTTGTACTGTTTCAAAAAGCAGAACTGTCACTACCCAAAAATACACTATAGGGCCTGCTGGTTATGCCTTCTGAATGCAATGTAGTTGCCCTTCTTCATAATTGCAGTCTCATAATTACCCTTTCCTATTTTCCATCAACTCTAAAACCAAAACCCCAGAACCCATCTCCTTCCATACTCACTCACTCACTCACTCACTCACTCATTTATTTATTTATTTATTGCTTAAGATGCTAAAGTTAGACATGAAAATCAAGTTTATGTTATTGTTTGTTCATTTTTAGGCCTCAGGCTCCCAGCCAGACAATCAGTGCTGTGGCAGCCCTTTCAGCCTTTCCTGACGCAGTGAGTGGTTTCAGATTATTTCCTACAAAGTTTTCCATGCCTTCTGAATACCAGAACTCTGAAGGCACAAGCAGGGGAGAGATACTGTTTTAATTAGACAGGCATACAAAGGCAAGGCGTGTGGGCAGGGCATCATTTGTGGCAACCTTGCACGTTTTGTTGGTGCAATATGGATGCTGAGAGGCAGCTGGCAAGTATTGTATCTAGACTGGAACCTAGAGATGCTGTCAGACTTAAACAAACAAACAGTACATCTGCATAAGCTGTGCTTGTGCACCTAGAAACACACAAAGCCAGGAGCCCCAATAGGAGACAGTCAGTGTGTTAGAGTGCTAATATTAGTGATAGACTGTAGAACACTTGCAGTGCCCAGTTGTGGCACTTTGATCAGCAACCCTGGGAGGCGAGTTACTGCTATTTCCAGATGGGGGGACTGAGTTTAAGTGCTCTTTAAGAAGTTCTGGGCTAGCAAAGGAGTTGCTCTTCCCTCTGTCCTCTGGATGCTCAGACAAAACTTGGGCCATACCAGTAGGCCTCAGCCCTGCTGCACCACACCCCACACTTTCAGTCCTCCTCTCTCCAACTTGTCCTACAATTTAAACCTGAACTTGCTGTACTGAGTCCCAGAGTTGACCCCATCCAAGAGTGCAGAAAGTGGCTGTAAAAGGACTGTTGATGTGGCGGAGTGGGGTCGGTCATAAGTGTTGTGCAGTCCATGTTCATTGTTGCAGGTGCTGATTTTCTTCTGGGATGGTATCATGAATCTGATGGACACTGCTACACAAGAGAACGTGTGCCAGTTCATCCTTCCACCCTCATACAAAGTAGCATCTCCTTGGCAGCCAGTTTTTTCTGTGGACACTGATGACCAGTACTTGATCCTCCGAGGTATTGCTGCCGCTGCTGCTATTAGATTTATGTCCTGCTGTTCTTCCTCTTGCAAGGGACCTAAGGTAGCTCACTGGGTCATCCTCCTGCCCCTTAATTCATCCTCACAACAACAACTCTGTAAGGGTATGTTAGACTGATAGTCTGTGATTGGCCCAAAGTCACCTAAGTGAACTTCCTGGGGGCAGAGGCTAGAACCCAGAGCAAGCTGGGCAGGAAAAGGGATTTACCTGTGATAAACTCTTACCTTGTCTATCTTCTTCCACCTCCTCAACCTTCAGTCTTTGGTTAACTGTAACTCCTCTTTTCCCTTCCCTACGTATCAGTCTAGGACATTGCCAAATCCTGGTGATGCTGCCTTTTTGGGCTATTGTTCCAGGCACACACATGGAAGCTATGCCTACTGAAACTTCTAGAAGCAAGAGCACTTAAAGGAATTCTAGCTGCTGCCCATGAGCAGGGAGAACCCTTTGCATGTGCATGCTCAAGGGTGAAGTTGATGCCTTTCTGTTCAGCCTGTGCGAAATCTCAGGGCAGGCTCTGAAATTTCTTCTTGATATTCTCTTTCTCTGTGTGTCTCATTATTTTTCATTCTTTCTCCATCTTTTGTTTTCTTGATCTCTCAATCTACAAAAAGGACCTTGTTTTTCTCTATCAATCTCTAGTGTGAATCCTTTAAGAAGATCCCAGTATTGGGCAGACATGGTATATTTGTTTTTGTCTCGGTGGAGCTCAAAATTGACTCTAGTTTACATAGTTTGAAGTGTAGTGGAATTTGGCCTTCAGTCTATGTATATTTTGCATGGGTCTATTAATTGCATCTTGCAACTGCACCCTCTCCATTACTAGCCTTATGTGTCTCAGGCACAAAAACTGCCATTTTAAAACAGCACTACACTCAGGATATCTTCGATCAGAAGTAGCATGACTGCGTATCCCAGTTTCTAGGGGACATGGGCAGAAGGGTGCTGTAACTCTCATGCCCTACTAATGAACACCCAGGGGCAGGTGTGTGAACAGAAATCTGGTCTAGGTTGATCCTTGGTCTTATCCAGCAGGACTTTTTCTATGTTCACCAAAAATGAATTGTTTCCTTTGAACCACTGTCAAAGATATAGAAAGGTTAGGATCATACAAATAGAGATCCAAGGAGGCCAGTGGGCATGCACAGAGGACTCTGGTGAATCAAATAATTGTCCAGAAATTTGATGTAGTCAAGCAAGCAAAGGTTTACTTTTTAAAACACCACAGACTCTACCTGAGGGGCCTTGTATTGGATTTGCTGTCACACATGACTGAGTAAATCATGTGGCTCCACAAAAAGTTAAGTGACAGCCTAAAAGAAAAAAAGAGCATGTAGAGGAGGTGGAAGCAGGACCAGGCCACGAAGGAAGAGTAGCAAGGAATTGCAGGGATGGCATCAGGAAGGCTAAAGCAGGAAATGAACTGAGAATAGCAAGGGATGCTAAGCACAACAATAAAGCCTTCTTTAGATACATCTGGAACAAAAGATACGAGAAAGAGAAGGGTGTCCAGCAACATAAAGTGGATGGCAGAGTGATAACAGACAACAAGGAAAAGGCAGAGGCACTCAGTTCCTACTTCACTTCGGTCTTCTCCCAGAAAGATATCTACAACCAAGAGGAAGTCCAAGCTGGAAGTGAGAGATGGTGGCCCAAGAGTGACAGACAAATGGTCAAGGAATACATAGATGGAATAAACACGTTCAAATCTCCAGGGCCTGATGAACTCCATCCCAGAGTCATAAAAGAGCTAACAGAAGGACTCTCAGAACCACTGGCTATTATCTTCAATAAATCTTGGAAAACAGGAGAAGTGCCAAATGGCTGGAGATGGGCTAATGTTGTCCCTATCTTCAAAAAGGGGGGAAAAGATGTACCTGGCAACTACAGACTAGTGAGTCTGACTTCAATCCCTGGAGAAATTCTGGAGCAAATTATTAAATAATCCATCTGCAAGCATCTTGAAGAAAATGCAGTGGTTAATAGAAGCCAGCATGGATTTATCAAAAGCAAATCCGTTCAGACCAATTTAATCTCATTTTTTGACTGGGCAAGCTCCCAAATGAACAGAGGGAACACTGTGGACATCATCTATCTAGAATTCAGTAAAGTTTTCGACATAGTGCCTCACAACATTCTGATAAGCAAATTAGCAAAAACTGGACTAGACAGAAAAACTATTAGGTGGATCCAAAATTGGCTGCTAAATCGGACACAAAGAGTTCTCATCAATGGCACCTTCTCAATTTGGATGGAGGTAACTAATGGGATGCCACAGGGTTCAGTCCTGGGCTCAGTGCTCTTCAACAGCTTTATTAATGATTTGGATGAGGAAGTACAAGGAAAGATAATCAGATTTGCAGATAATACAAAACTGGGAGGAATAGCAAACACCCTAGAAGACAGAATGAAGATCTAGGGTGATCTTGATAAACTTGAACACTGGGCTGAAAGCAACAGAATGAAATTCAGTAAGGACAAATGCCAAGTCCTCCAGCTAGGAAAAAGAAACCAAATGCATCGATACAAGTTGGAGAATATGTGGCTCAACAGAAGTGAAAAAGAAAAAGATCTTGGCGTAATTGTGGACAATAGGCTAAACATGAGCCAACAATGCAATGCACCCTCCAAAAGGGCAAGTGCTATTTTGGGATTCATTAACAGAAGTATTACTTTCAAATCAGGAGTAGCAGTAGTTCCTCTATACTCCTCACTAGTCAGACCACACCTGGAATGGTGTGTCCACTTCTGGGCACCAAGATTTAAGAAAGATGCAGGTAAATTAGAAAGGGTCCAGCGAAGGGCAACAAAAATTTTCCAGGATGTGGAAACACTGCCCTATGAGGAGAGACTGGGGGAACTGGGCATGTTCAGCCTTGAGAAGAGAAGGCTGATGGGGGACATGATATCCCTCTATAAGTACCAAGTTGCAACAACCCCGATTCAGGCTGGATATCAGGAAAAGCTTCCTCATGGTCAGAGCAATATGACAGTGGAACCAACTGCCTAGAGAGGTGGTGGACTCTCCCACACTAGAGACAGTCAAAAACTGGACAGCCATCTGAATGGGATGGTGTAACTTGGTATCCTGCAACGGCAGGGGGTTAGACCTAATAACCTTCATGACTCCTTCCAGCTCTACTATTCTATGATTCTATAATGTGGAGGAAAAGACTGGGTTAGACCCAGAAACAGGGATAAGGAGCACACCAGGGCCTGAGGCCATGTACCCTACCACTCTGCCATCCACACACTTAATGAAATAAATGTGCAGGGACCCTGAAGATTTCTGTTGTGTTTGATTCCCCTGGGTTTAATGCTGGCTAACCCCTGGGTTAGCTTTTTGCCTACATGCTGCCCCTCACAATCTTTTTGTCCATGTTTTTTTCTCCCTAGAACCCAAATGTCCTCAGGCTTCAGGCTGAATGTTAGGAAGTACTTCCTGACAGTTAGGACCCCTGGGATATGGAATGGGAGGTGGTTGAGGCTCCATCAGTGAGGGTGTTCAAGGAAAGATTGGACAACCACATTTTGGGGATTACGTGAGTGTAGCAAGCTGGAGTCAGGGGTCAGGCTAGATGGCCCGAGAAGTCCCCCTGACTTGTTTTTTCTCTCCTAGGTTTGTTGCTTTTGTTGCTTTTGCCTGTCTGTGCTAAAGGTTAACAACACAGTCCTACTTGTAGATGGGAGTGTGTTGCAAGAAGGAAAACAAATGTGTAGGGGGGAACTGCAGGGACAAAAAGAAGAGAAAAGGTGGTGGGTGGAGTTAGGGACCTTCCCCCTTGATCTCCCCCTCTGAACTCTGCCACCAAACTCCTGCTTGTTCTCTTTGTTTGCTTGCTACCTGGAAGCTTAGCTGCTTGTATCCCAGAGGATGGGGCAGCTTCCTCTAATCCATGATTCCATCCATCCCCTGATGATGGAGTTGAGCCATAATACAAAATAGTCCCTGGAAGCTAATCAGTTCTCAGCCCCTGCTCTAGAGTCTCAGGCTGAGGACCTTCCCATCACCAGCTACCTAATTATTCACGGGAGATCCTTGACACTGAGTCTGGAGCATGCACTTTTGTGCTGAGTATATTGCCCGGCTGTGTGGTACTTTTTGTTCAGGACAACTAATAATGAGTCTTTTTGTGAGCAGCAACTTCGACAAACAGGTGTCTCTCCCACTCTCTTCAGTTCTTATCTTTTAGTTAGGGAACTCCAAGGAGAGTGATGCATTGGTCAACTCAGATGAGACTCGCAAATAGGAACTGTAGGAAGGCACACCCAATGATTATAGTGAAGTCTCATGTCTGTTGTTGTCTTTTCTAGATGTTTGCCAGCACAGCCCCCCCCCCCCCGCCGCCCTTTAGCCAGGGGGTGAACAGAAGGTAGGCCTCTCAGTAATTTCCCTTAGATTGGCCAGGATTTCTGTCTCCCAGTTGTTTAACAGCAGCAACAAAATGACTCCTCCTAAGCTAAATTATGCAATTGAAATTAAGATAGCTTGGGATAACTAGGGGTGAATGTTTTGTGAAAAGGCTGTAAACTCTATTCAGTTCCTGATAGACGAATTCCTGGGCTCAAAATTCTTTCCTTCTGTGTATGTCTTTTGCACTGCCTTTGGTTGGTAGGTCTAAGTTGTAGTAAAAAACAAAACAGACAATCCCCATTATAACACTATGGTATCTCTCTCAGCATGTTCTTTTTCTTTTTCTAGGGGATGAGCAATTTGGGGGTGTTAAGGCAGAAACTGAAACAATCTTCCTCTTTGACTTCAAGTCTTACTCATTCATGGAGACTTTTGCAATGAAAGCTGAGAGTTCATTCAGCGCCTTGGCAGAACTGCCATGGGACAAGCGCTGTGATGCTTTCTTAAATGACAAGTAAGTTTCTTGTATCAGAAAAACCTAGAGCTGCCAGAAATATTTTCTGGGAGAACATCACTATTTCACTCACTAAGTATATCTCAAAAACCACAAAGAATCTTGTGGCACCTGATGAAGCATGTCGGTTCATACCCCGTGTGATGCAGTGCTTGAGAGATCCAGGTTCTATTCCCTCCTCTGCCATGAAGCTTACTGGGTGACTTTGGGGCAGTCACTGACTCTCACCCTAACCTACCTCACAGGGTTGTTGCGAGTGTGAAATGGGAGAGTAGGAGGACTGTGTAAGCTGCTTTGGGTCCCTAGCAGGACAAAAGGTGGAGTATAAATATAATAAATAAAGGAAATTGAATGCAGAAATTACTATAACACTCCGTATTTCTGCTAAAGTGTGCTATAGTGCACAGCAGTTTGTCAGAATAACTTTGCTAGAACTGCCACAAGATTCTTCATTGTTTTTGCTGCAACAGACTAGCACAATTACCCTCTGGAAACAATTCTAGATCAGTGCCTTCCCTTGTAATCCTCTGCCTCCTCATTTATTTGCACGCCACTTCATCAAAGTACACTCAAAGCAGCTCACAAGATGTGAGAACAAATAATCATTTGTTCATGCACTGGAAGTCACCTAAGAAGGCCTCAGCAATTATAGGCAACCTCTAAATACATGTAAATAAATAAATGAATGAATGAATAATTGGTGTGGAGATAGAAAAGATCCTGTGGGGTCATAAATATAAAAAATGCATTTTATCATATTAAATCTACAAAGGCATTACAATTATAATTTCTCTAAATATATGAAAACTTATCTCTTTACTAAAAAGAAATATCCATATTTAATTAATGAATCCTTTACTTACTAATCAAAATCACTAGGCTATCAATAGCAAATGCATCAGCATCCAAATGTTACAATTTAAACCACTGGATTCAAAGTCTGTCAAAGCAGCCTATCACATTAAGGCAGCCACACTGAGAAGTACATGAATTTCAGTGTAGGAGCACCAGGAGAACATGCTAGCATTTTCAATTCTTTCCGTCACCCCAGCAACCCTGTGCCAACTAAATTCACTGTTCTACTCAAGCAGTGGTTGGGCAGTTAATCTTGGCCACCTTGCCCCCTCACTGTCATCTAGGGGACCAAAAGCACACACCGCCACCAGTTCTTCTCATAATGGGACCAGATGAGTGGTGTTCTCCAGGCACCTTCAGCAGCAGGAGTAGGTGGAAGCGAGCCAGATAAGCAAGGCCCAGCATTAAACTGACAGAACTGAATTGCTAAATATGCTTGGTAGAAACTGGCTCTTCTCTGTCGCAGCACAGAGAATGTTGGGGAAAATGTGCAGGATTGTGGGCTGTTGCTACACAAGTTCTGAACATGCCTCGGTTCCCAGGATTCCTGGGTTGTGTTTTGTCATCCAGTATTAGCCACATCCCTGTGGATTAGTTGCCTTTATTTTGTGTGATGGAAAAGCTGCATGCTGATGAAGTTGTTTGACAGCTCAGTGCTGTTGGGTGGAGATAATGCACAATATTATCCATTAAGAGTGGGAATCATGCCACTTGCATTCTTCATCCACCTCCAATTATATGGAAGGTAATATATTTAATTTTTCCTGGTGTTGTTCCTAGGTGATACATTGCTTTCACAGTTTCACCAGATGGCAATGTGATACTTTAATGCTGGTATTTAATTACTCTAGCTTTCTTTTAAACATACTTGAAGCATTGTACAATAATACCAAATTTAAAACTAGCAAATATATGGAACACATTTCCAGTATTCTCCCCATTAAAAAATAGAGAAAGAGATGGAAAAAAGCATGCTTATAAGGGGGTAAGATAAAGCAGGAGGAGGAGCAGTTTAGTGAAGGGCTTTTGCATTTAATTATTTTTGGTAGCTCTTTTCCCACTCTAGATTGTCACCACTCACCCTGGTACCTTTTTTCCAGAAGAGTTTCTAAACATTTGGGAAACCCACAAGGAAAAAAGCGGCTGGTGGTAGCAGGATTTGGGGGTGGAAAAATGGAAGGCAAGGAAAGTAGTTCCCCGTCTCTATTTTCCTGCTCCAAAACACTTTTCTTTAAACATTTTTTTTTTTTTTGCAGAGCTGCTTTTTCTTAAAAAAAAAAAAAAAGGAGGCTAAAAAGAAATTGTTCCCACAAACATATGTAAAACATCAAATCCTGTCTTGACTCATTAGCCAGTGTAGTAGTTAAGAGTGCAGAATGGGACTCAGGAGATCTGGGTTCTAGCCCCACTCAACCACGGAGCTGACAGGGTGGTGACTTTGGGCCAGTCTCAGACTCTCAGCCCAACCTACCTTACAGATAAGATGGAGATGAAGAAGAGAATTATGTAAGCTGCTTTAAGTTCCTTACGGGGAAAAAAGGGTGGGATATAACTATAATAATGGTATTGGTTAATTAATAATAAACTATCCCAGCGCGATCTGCTATGGCTGGTACTAACTCTGCTTGAGCAAGGGACTTTCTCAGTCCTGCTGCCCAAGTTCTTTTTCATTGGCATTGCCAGAGACTCTACTTGGGGTCTTCCACATGCAAGGCATGTGCTCTTGCTGTACAGTAAATCCTTTTCCATTAGTAGTAGTGGCAGCAGTGGCAGTGGTGATAATAAATTGCTATTAGTGGATTATTTCATTATGTCACCATATTATTAACATATATTGGAACTTACAATGCCCCCCACCAAAAAAACAGTCTTGGAACAACTTGCACACACAAACACAGAAATGTAAAATTAATACCAGAGAGAAAAATCTCAATTGTTTGCTTGGGTTTGTACAACAAATTTTGGGCTAACCATGGGTTAGTGCTGTATATGAGCCAGGTAAATTGTATGCCAAGCACTCTGAAAGCTTGAAATTGCTCTAGAAATGGTCAGTGTGATTTACAGTGCCAGGGAGCACCTTCTCAAACAATTCCTGCTTGCTTTGCCATCTGGTGATGAGTGCATGAGGGAGCTGGAACCTCTGTCTTTGTCTCCTTGCCAGCCTGCAGCGGCTGTCCATGATTAGTCAGCAGATGCCTGAGTGCTGGAGCCAGCTGCAGGAGTATGCAGGTGTCTTGTCAAGGGGAAAGCCAGAGGAAGCAATGGGACAGCGGGAACCGAGGTGAGTTTGTCTTTGCCTTGACCAATCTAGTTGCTACTTTTGCCAGTTCCAGCAGCAGGGATGGGTACACAATGCCCATGATGTCCTTTGGATACTCTTTTAAGTGTCTGTCAAGGTGCCCCCCCACTCCCACTGTGTTTTCATTAACAGACTTCCTTACCAGCAGCTGGGCTCACTTAGGGAGGGGACTCCAGGCACTACCATCGTCATTTCCCATCACAAACCTGACTCCCCGAAAGAACCATCATCTCTGGGCACTGAGAAGGCTTACAGGAACGTTTCTCCCCTCTTGTATCAGTCTTTGGCTGTTACAAGAGAAATACATTTTTCACCTCACACAACTTAAAGGAAAAAGGTACAGGGTTCCCCCTCACCTGGCCATGAGGGTCCTGATGGAGAATAGGCCATGCACTGAATGCCAGCAATTCATTAATATATGTAAAAGTTAAGATTTGCACTTGGGAGTGCCCTAATGAGTAGGACTCGCTCCCTGTCTTGGTGACTTCATCTATGGAAAATCAAGCCCATTGATACCTGCTCTGATCTGTCTTAGTAAAGATGAACTATACATTTCCATCCACATTCTACAACTTCAGATTTTTAAAGCCTATTATGCTTTTTCATCCTGTTTCCCCATCAGTTTATGATTTCATTTTTATTTATTTTTGATCAAAGTTTTACAAACATTTATATGTATTTTTGCACACCATTTCCTTTCATATCCCAATTTTTGGCAAGCACTTTCCCCTGAAATGTTTTTAAAATATAGGCTTCCATAATGGACGCTGTTCTGAATGCATTTTTGATAAGAAAACCTCAACACAAAATCTGGAGCATCATGAACTCCAAAGAATAATTGTGTTCCAGTTTGTTAGTTTGACAAGTTGGGATTAGGTTGGTTCATATTAAAAATTAAATCAATCAAATTTATTGCCTTTCTCTTACCTTGGTAATTTTCCCAGTACAGCTACACTGGGATACCTCCTCAGGTCGGGAAACCTCTGGAAAGTGTAACTTTGTAGGAGTTTTGGTTTCTACCTGGTCCTATTCGCAAAAATCAGTACCTTCTATTCTTGTCTAAAGCTTATTAAATCAGTCAACGGATAATTCTGCTTTCTCATTCTAGCACGTTGCCTAAGAGTACTGAAGACACACAATGCATCGGCTGAGAATAGCCGAGTGGAAGAACTACACAGTGAGTTTGTGTACAAATTGCATTCAGCATAGCCAAGACCCTCACAGATGTAATAGAAAACCACGGATTAATCTTATGTGAATGCAGGGAGTGGTTTAGGATTGTGCAGTCTTTCTTCACTTGGATACCACTATTCCCCTTCTCAAAACCCTTCAAACCATAGTTTGTCATTTACTCTGCTTTGCATGTGCTCTGAAAATAAGGTCCACAAGCCAGAGTTTGATCAAGATAGAATTTTAAACCATAGTTTGCCAAAACCAAGATTATAGGAGGTATGCCTACGCTCCCTGTGTGATATATCAAGGTTTGGAGTTATCACCAAGCCTTGATCTTTTGGATTCCAGAGGTCCTTTGGAAACCCTTTTAGCTGTGATTAATCCACTTCTCAGTGTATCTCCCTCTTCTGGCTAAGGTTTCACCAGCTTGGGTAGTGTTTGTGATGATTAGCAAGTTTCTTCATGATTTTAAGAGGGTGCCGTCCTCCAAACAGCATTGTAAAATCACAGTACTCCACCAGAGTGCACTCGAGTGCTGTAGCCAAAGAGGTCGCAGGAGCCTGCATTCCTTAGAAGCCAGAAGAACTGTAACCAGCTTTAGCGTGTGTGTTGCATCAGGAGTGCTCTTGAGAAACCACTTAAAGTTTAATCAGCAGATCTGCGTAAGCTCCAGGACATTGCCCTCCTGCATGTTCTTGGTTTGTCTCTTAGGGCAATGTTGTAAGAGATGCTTTAGCTTGTGCTTTGATAGTCAGCAAAGGAAGGGACAGCCTCCTCCAACTCAGATATAGTTAAGCATATAGTTATAGTAAACTAAGGTTTGCTGTACAAATTTATGGTGTGATCACACCGAATATATTGCGTACATTTTTTGTCACTGCACCTATAAAAGGATACTGTAGAGTTATAAAAAAGTGCAGAGAAGGGCTACTGAAATGATCAAGGGGCTGGAACAGCTTCCCTTTAACATCTGGGACTGTTTAGTTTAGCAAAAAGGGGTAAGAAAAGGGAAAAATGACAGAACTGCACAAAGTCATGTATGGTGTGGAGAAAGTGGATAAGGAAAAGTATGCACATCTTCACATAGTGAATAGTTAGATTGATGAGACATGCAGAAAAGGGCATTTCTGTAATTGCCTGTGCAAAAACCAGAGCAGAATTTCATTGTTCATGAGTTGAAAAAAATTCTCTCATTTTAAGAAGTGAATGGAATATTTTTTACAGTGTACATTTGCTCCCACTCCCACTCCAGTTGAAACCACATGATTGTCCTGAAAGAGATGGGGCCATTTTTTTGTAGGCAGATAATTAAAAAATATGCAGGTGCTGCAGTGGGTTAAACCGCTGAGCCGCTGGGCTGGTTGACTGAAAGGCCTCTAGTTCGAATCTGCACAATGGGGTGAGTTCCCGTTGCTCCATCCCAGGTCCCACCAACCTTGCAGTTTGAAAGCCATGCAAATGCAAGTAGAGAAAAAGGTACCATTTCAGTGGGCAGGTAATAGCGTTCCGTGCACTTCGGTGTTTAGCCATGCCGGCCAATGACCACGGACACTGTCTGCGGACAAATGCTGGCTCCCTCGGCTAGGAAACAGAGATGAGCACCGCCCCCTAGAGTCAGGCATGACTGGACTTTAATGTCATGGGGAAACCTTTACCTTTTATTTTAAAAAAATAGAAAAGTGGAGTATACCGAGTGACAGCTTTGCTTCATTTGTAAGCCATCCAGAGCCTTTTAGTAATGGGACAGCATAGAGAAACTTTAAATAAATAAATACATTTGAGTTTCCTTGTCAGCTCCCAGGTAAGTAGGGAAAGCAGCTTTCGGGGATGGTTTGCAAGGCAGACACTGGGTGGAAAGGGTTTAGGGCTTTCGTTTTCACCTTCTGCTTCTCTGTAAATGTCCCCCTATCTGTGCTTTGCCCATCATCATTGCATAGGGGTTTGGGAATCTCTGTATTTCACCTTCGTCAAATTAAGCTTACAAAAAGCTGTAGAAATCAACCTATTTTCATGAATGTAGATTTACTTTGACTATGACCAGGAGGGAGAGTTGCTAGCATGGTAGGGTGTCTTTTTTTTTTTCTTCACATGGTCGACTTGCATACTCTGCTTGGGCCACAGGTTGATCCGTCTTTGAAGTTCAGCCTGCCTTAGCTTAGAACATTACAGGCTGTTTATGCTGCCTGCTATGCTCTGCCCAGGTCTCTTAGGAGAAACCCAGACTGTTCCAGATTGCCATGGCCCTGCCAAAAGCACCACAATTCTCTTCTCTGCAAGACTCATACTGTCTGCAAAACACTCACTGTTGCTCTGGTAGCTAGTCTGCACTAGAGGTGTGCCTCTTTTCTCCATTTGGGGTGGGATGGGCCATGCTGACAGAGCCACCCCCCAACTGCAGAGTGGGCTCCCCCTGAAAGGAGTTTCTTGGGGCTACCTCTTAGTGCACTCATAAAACACAAGTCCTTTATTCAAGGTATGTTTCCCTTTGGATTTTTGGTGGCAACTAGAATAGTATAAGTTGTGTTTGTGATCTTTTTGGCACCAGGCAAGCCCTACTTTGTTCTCCTTGGCTTTTGATCTTCTGAATTTTAAAAATGGTTTTAACAGCTGCTTTTAAATGTTTGGGCTTTTTTTGTTGTGATTTGATTTGTTTTTGCCTTATTGTATGTATGCAATAAGTAAATAAATCAATATCATGGAAATAAAACCTTCTGGCCCCCATCTTTCCCCCATCACAAGTGGGCCTGGGATGATTACGTGTGCTAATGCCCTACTCTCTGTTGAACTATATTGCAGCTATATTTAATATGAGAATGGGTTATTGCAACATTATCGTGCACCGTTATAAGGTTCACTGCAAACCGCAGTGCTAAGTTTTAATTAAAGTTGCCCATGTCTCTCCTGGTTTTTGCCATTCTAAGCCAAAGTAGCAAAACACCAGGATATGCTTAGTTTCCAAAGGTCAAAGAAAAATCATATAAGCCATTTGGCAAGGAGATGGGATTCATGAATTGGAAGTGACACAGGTAATATGGTAGCAGGAAGACAGGGCAGGAAAGCCTACGTAATGTTTTCTGAAGGGAAATGAAATTAAGCCATTTCTTTCTCAAACCATTTCAGAACATTCCACTGCTGTACCACCTCTGATTTCATCTGGTGTTGCTTTCAGATAAGTAATGCCCTTAACATTGGATTCTTGGCCTTACACAGAAACAGTATATGGCAGAGCAAGGCCTAACTTCCCCTTTATTGCGCAAGCCTTTCATCTGTGCCTGACCATGAAACGGAATGGTCAGCTGAAACATACAAAGGGAGAAGGGGATGGACTCAAAAGCAGCACATGCAGCTAGACCATTCTCTTCATGAACTGGAAGTTTCTCTCCAGACGCACAAGCACCACCTAGCCTACTCTAGCCTCTTGGAGTGAAGATTATGTCTAGACTGTTTGTAGGTTGCTACCTGTGTTAGAGCTGGGTAGTGCTGCTGGAGATGCTTAATATCCGCCTCCATTTACCAGTCCAAGTTAAGGACGGGAACCCAGTGAAAATAATTCCACAAAAATTGATGTGGAAACCTTTTCAAACAAACCCTTCTCTCCCTTGCCCCCTGAGGTGGGAATAATTGCACAAGAGGACTATACCACATCTGTACCTACAGAATTGAAGATACAAAACAAGGAAAGGAGTATCTTCCATACCTCTGAATGCTTCTGCAAATAAGGCCTTTGTATAGTCAAGCAGGAATTGCTGGAGGTATCAGCCACATCATATCGTGAATAGTATGGACAGAATTGTGGACAAAATAATTGCGGACAAGAGCCACACATTTTTCATGTCTGCACCTTTTGACTTGGATCCTTATGAGACTTGCCCTGTGCTATCACTAATCTTTCAAGTGCGAGTGAAGATTTGACCAGGATGTTTCATGGTTTAATTCAACTGATGGATTCATCTGTTTTTGTTTCATATTTCACAACCTTTTTCTGTTGTATTTTATTAATCTTTATTGCTTCTGCATTATTTCAATATTTTGCAAATAATTTTGAGATGTAGTATACATGAAAATATGTTGCAAAAACCTAAAAAAATATTATATCTGTATCTTTATATTAAAATGTGATGTGTGAATAAGACAAATCTGTTTGGAAATATTGTTCATGCAGCTATACCTAACAGAAAGCAAGGAGTAGTTTATTTATTTATTTAGCAGACTTATATGCAACCCCATTCGCCTAGACCTCGGGGTGGTTTACAAATAAATAAATATCATTAGTACAATAAAATACAGTTGGAGACATCCTGGCCAAAGTTGTTAAAATCAATAAATAAAATCAACAATTAAAATGACATTTAAATAAAAAGGTCTTGGCCTGGCGCTGAAAAGCAAATAACGACGGCGCCAGGTGGGCCTCTCTGGGGAGCGCGTTCCATAGGTTGGGCGCCACCGCAGAGAAAGCCCTCCTCCGGGTGCTCACCCTCCTAATGTCCTTCACAGAGGGCTCCCGGAGAAGGACCTCTGCCACCGATCTCAAGGGGCGGGAGGGCACAAATGGACGTAAGCACTCCTTTAGGTAACCAGGACCCAAGCCGTTAAGGGCTTTATAGGTGATAACCAACACCTTGAATTGGGCCCGGACTTCAATGGGGAGCCAGTGAAACTGATGGAGGACTGGAGTTATGTGAGCACAACGCCCAGTCCCCGTCAGCAACCTGGCAGCTCTGTTTTGCACCAATTGAAGTATCCGGACCGTCTTCAAGGGTAGCCCCACATGGAGCGCGTTACAGAAGTCTAGTCGGGAAGTTACCAATGCATGTGTCACTGTCGCCAGGCAGTCATTCTCCAGGTAGGGATGCAGCTGGTGAATCAGCCGAAGCGGAAAGAAAGCGCTCCTCGCCACCGCTGTTACTTGAGCTTCCAGCGAAAGCTCTGGATCGAGGAGCACTCCCAGGCTGCGGACCTTGTCCCTAAGAAGGAGTGCAACCCCATTCAGGACAAGATCAAGGTCCCCTTCCCCGAAGCCCGAGCCGCCTACCAACAAGACCTCCGTCTTGTCTGGATTGAGCTTCAGTTTATTGAATTGATTAATAAATTCAGTTTATTTATCAGTTAGTTGCATCCCAATGTGGAGTGTGAACTTAAGGCAAACCTGGGTTTGTTAGTACTTAATTTGTGGATGGCCTTCAGTTCCTGGGTTAACTGGATTTTGTGTCAAAACAAGCATCCACAATTTATAAAGACTACACGTCTTTCACCAAACGGCTTTACAATTCTGCATTTGCCAGAAGAAATGTATTTTCTATTCCCGCAACGCACAAGACAGGTTAATCTGTGTTCCTGAGAAGGCCATGTGGTAGCACTTCAGAAGCTGATGAGATCCTGGAACTCATGCGGAACACGGGTAATAAAATCATTTCATTTTGCTCAGGAATGCAGAGACTGTGTGTGTTGAGACTGGGAGACAAGGAGTTTTCAAGAAAAATAATGGGATTGGTTTGTCGCTATTCCAAAAATGAGGGGGTGCAATATTTTTCCCATTAGTTTACAAAAACTTCTTTGTTCTGAGGTCTTAGAAAAGGGAAACAAAGCATATGTGGGAGGAAGAAATTCAGATGACCAGCTGAGGCATCTAACACTCTGGGCCAGACTTCAAATTGTGCCAGGGAAGGGCAGTCATTTCTTTCCATCAGATTTTTTTAAGGCTAATTACAATTTCTCTTTAACAGCATTTATTGTCTCTGCCTCCTTGTTTAGTTTGCCATTCATATTTTTGCTCAACTTAACCTCCATTCAAGGATGACTCCAGATACGGGTTAGAACAGGAATGCATAATCTTTAATCACAGCTGCAGGGGGCATATCTGCCATGCCATAAGATTGAGAAACCTTTGAGTATCGGAGATGGGAAATAGAGATGAAAGTGCAGCAAGACATTTTCATGAAGTGTTGACCCCAGCCATTTATATTCTGCTAGAAGCAGTATATATCTTGAGTTAGCACTGTATATCTGTCCAAATAGGAAAGAGGAATGGCAGTTAACTGGCAAGATTCCTTCTGCTGCTCAAACCCAATGAAATACTAAGTTTCTTCTTCTGAATCAGTAAAAATGGTATGACTAGTGTTCAGCAGGAATGTTTGCCCAAGCGTCTGTCACGCTCGCTCACATCAAGTCACTGTTCTGGTACTTACTGGTTAGGTTACGGTGTGCTTGTTTGTATATTTCTGTTAATGATTCTAGGCTGATTTTTCTCCTTAGAGGCCTTTGGAGCTGCTCAAGAGATTAAGAATAAATAGCAACACACAACAAAATTGTAAGAATGAACATGGTGCAGCCTGAGAACAGTCTATCAGATACAATAATGAGATGACATGGTAACCTGAGGGTTCAAGAAAGGAATCCCAAAGTAGAACATCTTAATCCTCAAAGTCCTGATTCAAATTGAATTGAATTGACCAATAAATTGAATTAATGGTGCACTTCTATATATGTTGGGACAGGGGAAAGAAGGCCTACAATTTTCAGCTTGTCCCTTGCTGGGGCATGCTGCGAGCTGTAGGCCTTTCTCAACTTGCATAGGATTGAGCCTTACACCAAAGAGTTCCTGCACTGGGCTGCTTATTAGATGTCAGGACCATAGATGGCGCATAGAAGGTAGAGCTAGCAAGCAGGTAATTCCCCGAGGCAGTAGCTTTGGAATACTGCCCCAGGGAAGTATGTGCTTCAGTTTCTAGCCTCTGACCTTTAAGAAAGCTAAATCCTCAGTTAAAGCTGTCTTAAGCTGACCCTGCATGGGTCAGGCCATTTCTGGACTCTGTCAGTTTTTAATTCCTTCTGTCTAAAGTCCATGCTATCACATTTCCTGTGGTGGTGACTGCATGCAACTTGAAAAGACACATGAAAATTCACATTCATTTTCCCTTGGTCCCCTGCTTATTGGCAGAGGCCAGATACATGAAGAAAGATGTTCCAAACAATCAGAATTATTCAGTAAAAGGAATTATGCACAGAATTCTCTCCACAATCGTGGGAGTATTGTCATAGGAAATATGGACATTTGAAAAACCATCCCCTACATGGCTAAGCACACACAAACGTAGCTATTGAACGGTTTCAAAGTTGTAGCATGCTAGGCCAGTCAGTATTTGCCTAAATTTATGCTAGAAGCCAGTTTTGCTGTTACAATGAGAACTTATTAATGCACTTCCTTGAGGCATGTCATAGACTGCCATATCCATTTTTGACAGGTAAAATGTAACATTGTCCTAATTTCTCCCACTTCTGCTAATGATAGAAAGAAAAGCAGGAACCTCACTTTTTCCTCAACTTAAAAAGAAAAAAAAATCTGTGCTAAGTATTGCAGCTTTTATCACCTGGGACCTGTTTTCACCTTCACAGAATGCAAGTCTAGAGCCCTTGGGGCGAGTGGAGCTTGTTGTATGGTTCTTATTGCTTACCACATCCCTTAGTCATCCCACAATTCTGCGCCCCATTTGTGGGGAGAGAAATTAGAGGGGAAATATTGTGGACTGTGGGAATGCAGCAGACACAGTATATCTTGAATTTATCAAAGCTTTTGAAAGGGGTCCAGGATATCCTGATTAGCAAACTAGTCAAAAGAGGATTAGATGTAGTTGGATCCACAGTTGGCTGCAGAAGTGAACTCAAAGAGTGCTCATCATGGGCATCTTCTCAAACTGGAGAGAGTTAACAAGTGGGGTACCTGGGCACCCGGTGCTTTTCAACATTTTTATTAATGATTTGAATGAGGAAGTACAAAGAACAATGATCAGATTTGCCGTTGACACAAAACTGTGTGGGATATCTGAAACTGTGGAAGAAAGAAAGAATTCAAGGTGATCTTGATAGGTTGGCGTGCTGAGCTAAAAACAACAGAATGAAATTCAATAGGAACAGATGCCAAGTTCTGCACCTAGGAAAAAGAAACTCAATGCATTATTACATGATGGGGAATACTTGGCTGAACAATACTACAAGAGAGAATGGTCTTGGAATTGTTGAAGGTCACAAGTTGAATATGATTCAAAAATATGATGTGGCTGCAAAAAGAGAAAATGCTCTTTAGGCTGCATTCATAGAAGTATCACTTCCGAATCCTGTGAAGTACTAGTTCTCCTTTACTCAGCACCAGGTAGGTCTTATCTGGAGTGCTGTGTCTATTTCTGGGCACCACAGTTGAAAAAAGATACAGGCAAGCTGGAAAGGGTTCAGAGGAGGGCAGCAAGGATTGTCCAGGGACTAGAAACAAAGCACTATGAGACGAAGTTGAAGGAACTGGGCATGTTTAGCCCTGAGAAGGGAAAACTGAGGGGGGACGTGATGCAACTGCACAGCCATCTGGGAGGAATGGCTTAACTTGGTGTCCTGCAGGGGGGGTTGGACCTGTCAGCCTTCCAGCCCGTTCCAAATTTATGATTCTGTTTTACTAAATGCCTCCCCTATTCTGTCAAGTGGGGCTCACCATGGTCACTAGCACAGCTACATTTTTCTCTTTCAATTTTTGTTTGTTTCTGCAGTGTATAATGACAGTGTTGGCTGCTCAGGTGCCATTTTTCATCATACAATGCCTCAGGCCTAGTGTCATTCCAGGGCATTGTGGGAACGACTGTCACATACAACGATGATGGAATATGGGAAAAAATTTGGAAAGAAAATTTTGTCAGAAAAAACCTGTGAAGATTTGACTCAGCTCTAGTGCTTTTCAAGTGTTTCAGCTGATAATTGATTTGGTACAAAATTGCAGGTTGGGTAGAAAAGTTCCCCTGAAATTTGGGGTGAATTGGGGGATTAGAGGTTTTGTGAAGTGTATGGTCTTATCATTAACAGCAGGATGG